ACAAGCTTCAGGTGGTTCTGTTTGCTCCTGATAAGTGTGTGAAGTTTTTGATGCGTGAGCCCAAAAACCTGGGTTTGGATCCCAGAAGAACGGGCTCTTGTTTCCATGAATAATGCACCTTTTGTATTTAAGGATGTTGACAATGCTGTTAGTAATTTGGAGTTGGTTCTTCCAGCTGAAGCTTAACCAGAGAGACAAAAAGATCCCTTGCAATACAGATTAAACTTCAGGCCAGTAACTTCTGGTTCAGATGTCGTTCAAATTCCATTATTTGGTCTGGTCTCCTTTTAGCACAATTTGTTAACTTATTTGCATTTTCTCTTACCCAGATGTTTTGAACAATATCCTTGAGCTGTTTTCCTCTTCTTGCTAACTGTCCAATATTTCTAGCTGCCTTCTGGCTGTGGAAGGAAACTTTTCCCTTTTAATTAAATCACTGAGATCCTAACTGAGGGCTATTAGCTCAGAAGGAATTTGTTTTCTGTGAGTCAAGATGGTGGCAAGTGTGACAAAAGTCTAAGCAGGTTATTAGAGACCCAAATCCTAGATTATTTTTGCTTCCCAGAAAGCCAAGAGGAATTACTCTTTGGGAAGCAAATGCCTGTGGGGCACCGTGGTGCAATGTAGAACAGTTTCCAGCTTTGTTTGGGGCAACGGGACTGGACTTGGTCTTCAGCTGAGGCTTTTTGCTGTCTTTCCCCTGCTGCCTGGGAGTCAGTGCAGCCTGTGCTTAATAAAGGTAGTGCAACAAATCCCGAGGCTTTCAAGGATAATAAGAAAACAAAGATATTTCCAAGCATAACGACATCATGTCTTTCATTTCAATGTTTTTGGAGAAACATCTATCTCTTTTTTTTTTTTTTTTAAATTAGTTTAATTTTATCTTCATTAATTGCCATGACTTCTATCTCAGTGAAAGGAATATAGGCAAAAAATTAAATTGAATTATCACTTAGATGGTAGATTGTCCTAGCAGTATCTCAGATAGGCTTGAAACATTTCATAGCAGTGTGTCTCATTCAGTGATTCTGTTTCTTGTGAAGCAACACTTTTCATTTCCTAATGTGATGAATGGCATGAAATAGTGTAATGCAATCTGAACGTTTAATTCAAAACAGATTACTCTTCTATCTAATCAGCACCCAGGAGCACGTAAATCTGTGTGTACCTGATCAGAATTAATTTCATTTGAATGGAAATGTGCCCTAGAGAAGCTCCTCTATTTGTCAGGGAAGCATGATAAGCAATAACAGAAAGACAAAGAAAAACTGGTTTCCAAATAAGGTTTACCATTTTGTCTTAAGTTAATTTTATGATCCTAATTAATATATGTATAAAATTTATCATTCAGTAAGATTTATGGCAAGCTGGTGATAGAACAATCCAGAACAAAGAGCAAAAATTTCTGCAAACATGGGACTTCAGATCTTGGTACTGCTAAAGCAGATAAAGGTATATCCTTTTGAGGAAAACGGAGTGCCCATTGTGTAGGATAATGAAGGCAGTATCATGTATGGAATAAGGCACAGGTCAAATGCTAAAGACCTTGGCACAGTCAATCTCTTCTTGGAGAGACCTTGGCCGTGCTAAGGCCATGCTGCCTGATTTGAGAAGCCAGCCTGATTTTGCTGTGGAAATACTTGGAGCAGGGCTAGATGATCTCCAGAGGCACCGTTCAGCTGAAATTATCGAATGACTTGGGTCAAGATGCTTACACTGTGTAAGTGACCAGCCAAGTGCAAATATTCTTGTATGAGTCAAATATATTGAAGGAAACTCTTGATGGGACATACATGCTAAAAGAGAAGTCCTCAGGTTATCCATGCAAATTACCAAATAATGTGATCACCTCTTAGCTAGGAAGAAAACTTCCCATGTCAATGATATTTATTTTACATTTTTTCAGAAGCTTCTTTAAAACTATGAGGTAAAAGGTATATGATGCTATCTTTCTTTCTTATTTTTGGCGAAAAAAAATTCTAGTCCAGTTTCATGAAAAACAGATAAAGAGGGATGAAGTACTACACAGAGCATTTTAATGGAATTCAATGTGCCTGTAAAAGAAAAGGACGTGAACAGCATCAATATACAAGGGTGTTGATTGCAAACCAAGAGAACCAGAGAAAAGATGAGAACTGGTAGAGTGTCAGTGTTTGTACAGCTAAAGAAGAGATTTGCTCTAACTATGTGCAAATAGAAATTGTGGGTTTTCATGAGTCATTTGAGTATAAGTTTAAGGACTGGCTTGATGAAGATGAGCAAGTCATTGTGTGTTAGTATAAATGAAGTTTGAAGAGGGCTTCAGGCCAGATGGCAGTTTTCTGGAAATTCTACAAAGTACATAGCTGAGATTTGCACTGTTTTAGAAACTCTATATGCAATGACCACAGTGAGCTAATGTTTGTGGTATGTGTGTTTCTAGCACTGTGATAAGTTGTTTGAAAAAGTAACTTGGACACCTTCTCTTTGAAGAATATCATGGACAGAAAAAAAAGCTAAAAACAAAAGCAAACAAACAAAACCCCTACCATATATATGGGAAAAATGAAAGTTACTCAGCCCCAAAGAAATGCTATATTCTTCAAAAAATCACAAAATGAAGAGTTGTGGTTTGGGGAGAAGGTTTATTTTTTGTCTGAAGTGTATCCAGAGAGTAATTTTACAGCTTTTGCTGTGAATCTCCAGGAAGACCAAACAAATATTTATTAGATAACATCAGGTATTGCCCCACTCCCGGCACAATATCAGTGGGACTGGATCAAACCACGCAGAGGACACTCTTGGGTTATGAAGATATTCCTTGCATATTGCAGGCAGACATGAGACTGATGTATGTTAAGTTTAGAAACCATATGAGAAAAGTCAGAGTGGTGCTAAACTGAGCTTGTGAGGCCCGTTGAAGTAGAAGATGGACATAACTGAGCTCAGTGGTGTGCTGGCCGTGTCCAGACAGCATTTTCTTTGTTTGTGTTGTCCTGTAAACAAGTGGAAAAAAACCGAGATCTCAATGGCAGACTCAATTTCCTGTCTAACACAGGGTGGCCGAGGTGTTTGAAGTGTTCTTTGCTCTTCTCCAAACCCTATAGCCCTATAAGCATCAGTAATGCTAACAGAGGCCAGAAAATAAATAGTTAGTGTGGCCCGAGGTGGTGTATAGCAAGGTGTTGGGCATGCCCTGCTGTGAAGGGTTTTGTTGCTGCGCAGCTCTTTGCCCCGGCTGATTCCAGCCAGGAGCCAGCATAAAGCATCGCTTTTAAGCAAACTCAAGTCAGTGTGAGATTGCAGCTAGCAAAGTCCTGCCGGGTCCATGGGAGCCAAAACTCTTCAGCGCTGAAGATACTGAAACTGCAGCAACATTCATTTCACCCTTCACAGAGTTCATCATTACTGTACATATATTCCCTCAGCAGGAGACAATAGCAGCCAAAAGTAAAATAATTGTTTCTCCTTGTAGAGGAATGCTCCAAGAAAGGGCCCTAGGGACTATTCTAAGCAAGGCCAATTTTTTCAGCCATATCTAGAAAGAGTAGTACCATCTGCTTTTATCACATAATTTACACAACGCTTAACCAGAGACAGAGCATAAGAAAACCTGCTGCCCCCCTCCTGGGAAGCCGTGTCTCTTAACGAGGATTGGTGACCCCGCTAGTCCAATTTGGTTTGAAATTACTGCTCCAATATTGGAAATTCTCTGCACAAGGAAGCAACGTACAATGGCATAAGTAGCAGAAGTTACTTGTTGTTTTTTTTCCACTTTTTTTTTTTTTTTCATCGAGTTCTTGTTTTTTCCCCTTATCTAAAAGTATCTTTCATTTAAGAGAGGAAACATGATATACGTATAAGTAAAGAAAATGGATGCAAAGCTAGGTCATAGTGTTTTGTGACTTGGGGCAGCAATACAATACCTTTTATTACTTGTTGCATACTAAAAGATACTTCTGAAATAATAGTTGACTTTAATGTGAAGCATACAAATCATTGAACTGATAGCAAAATCCAGACTTCTGGGCAAGAGATAAAGTATCTCATTTAAATTGATTACACCTACCTACAGGACACAGAGATGCGAAGAGAAATGAGCAGAAAGGCGATGGAAGATAGCAGGAGACACCTGGACTACACACAGATTGATGGCAAAGGTTTTGTAAGAACACAAATGTAAAATGGACAAATACCATCCCAGCCTGTTATCTCACCTAAGGCACAGAAAGATTTGCCTGCAAATGTACAACGGTAGCTAGTTATTTCAGTGACAAATACTTTGTACTTGAGCTGGCTCACAGAAACTGTGCCCTCATGTATTTCACATGACTTTTGTGGGCTATGATGAGGAAAGTGAGGCCATCAAAACTGACAGTCGAAAAGTCACTTAGGCTTCCAAAGCCATACAAAAACTGGTGCAAAATGGAAATCTGAATTGCTGGTGATGTGCACAAAATCATAGCGGCTCAAAGGCATCAGAGAGGAGAACTGTGAGTCCTCTGCGGGCACTTGGTCTAAGAGTAAGTCAGAAATTAGGGATCTATGCTGGTTTTCTAGGCAGTGTGGATGTGTTAACCTGCATACACCGAAGACCTGGCCGTACAGTGTTCCTGTTGTCCAATTGCTGGGTCTCATAAAACCAAGAAATCTGGGGTTTCTATGTCACTTTAAGCATATGATCACTGGTTTAGGGAGGTTATGGTATTTGTGAATGTAACGTTTGGTCAATATTGCACAAAGTCAGTGGCTTTAACCAGTCACATATTTAGCTGGTCAGACTCTTTCCAGTGCATTTTTGCAAATCATCAGTCTCCGAGCAATGGTGTGAGTTGAAGTCTTGTGCACGAGGAATTGGGGTGGCTGGTGCTGTTATTGCTCCTTTTTTTTTGGGGGTGGAGGAGTTGTTACAGGTCAGCTACCAGCTCAGCTATGCACGTTGCTTTCATACCCGTGTCACTGGGACTAAACATGTGCACACCGACTGAAATAATCTAGCTCAAAAACTTGATTTTCCTCAGGTTTTGGCTTCCTCGCTCTTTCAAAGTGACGGCTGGAGCCCCAGGCTGGAAAAGCCAGCAGAGTGCTTTAGACAGACCTATTTACCAGGATGCAGAGGCATTGTGAGAAACTCTCCACCTGGACCCCAGTCAATACTGCTTGATCCTCGCTGGCATGTCCTAAGGTATTTCTTTGCGGAGCTCTATTCAAGGTGTCTATTTCCAGTCTCTTAACCTTTCACAGCACATACTTTTTTAATAACAAAGCTGGAAAGAAAGGGGATCTTTTTACTATAAAGGTCACAAATCAATGTTTTATTTTAACAGGTTTGTCATTCCTTTGTTGAGGCTTTATTTAGCAAAAGTCATTGCCAGCCCAGCAGCACATAAGAAGGAAAGAACCAAGGCAGTGAAATTACAGCACATATTGCCAAATGACTCTTTAATTAGGAAGTAAGTGTTTTTTCTGTTCCCGTAACCTCTGGCATTCAGGGCTGGTGAACAGCCAAGGGAAAGTGGCATATGGAGAAGAAGAATGTGGCACTCATGAAAGGCAAGATTAAGTGTCCGAGTCAAGGCAAATCTCACGATAAGGTCTGCACGTGCCTGTCCTCACCCCACCATCACCTCTCTTGTGTCCCCACATGGGGAGGCAGCCCCATGAGATGAAGAGCCATAAGGTGTCCCTAAACAACATGGGCCTGGTTTCAGCATATTAAAAAGTGTTCAGTCAGATAATTACCCCTAATAATTAATTCTTTTTCATGATCAGCTTAGATGGCAATGGCGCAGAAAAAGCAAATCGCTTGGTGTTTGCAATCTGCCTCTCGCTCGCAGCCCATTCGGCACCTGGTGATTCAGCACATCTGTGTCTACCAAGGACTGATAGAGATGACAAAGCAGCTGTTTCTGGAAAAATTGTTTACCTCCTCCTACCTTTTCTAGTCACTTTTCTTAATGTACAATCAGTCTTGATAAACAAAAGTCACTTAACAGCCCCCGCAGTCTGATATGCTATCTGAATTTTACTGCAACTTCACCAATAAGTTGCAATCTGCTTTTTTATTTTTAAGATAGAAATATATATATTTTTAATTTTAAATAGATTTTTTTTTTTTAATTAAGATACATGAGACCCATGACTTAATGAATTTCTGTAACTTAGAAATAAATTGCAGTCTAAATTTAAACAAATGCTTCTTCAATGCCTGGCCTTGCAGACCTTCCTAAATGTAGGTGGAACTTGCTGTCTTCTGTTTGCCAAAGGTAATGACACCTTGCTTTTTCATCCCCTGGAGACTTTCACCCCTGCTTTATCTTCAGCGCTTCAGTTCTGCATCTCCCAAATCACAGCTAGGCACCGCTATTTGTTTGGCTTCCTGCTGACACTGAAGTTGTCTCCTTGTACTAGTAAGCACGCTCGTGTTTGCAGAGTTGGGTTGTTTGGATGCTTTTCCTCACTAACAGTTTTCTTTTAAACTAGAAATATCTTAAACCTGAATTAACACAGCCTATTGGCTCTCAAGTACAGTTTGCTAAGTTGACAGTTTCAACAAATTTTCAACAAATTCTTGCTTTCTAGGTTTGTAGCTGCCACTGAGAAGGCTGGGGATGAGCCAAGCCAGGCCTGGAAGGAAAACCTTTTACCACAGTCAGTATGTTGGGTAACTATGCTCTGAGGATCAGGGGAATTAATTGTGTAATTGCCAGGATTAGTGAGGTAAGTTGATGATAATGGACTTGTTAAGAGGACAGTTTGTATCAGGTTAGATAAATTACCTCTTGGTGGTAGGAAGCAGTCCTTGTTCTGTCTGAGGAGTGGAGCCCACCCTCAACTCCCCCAGGTCTTCCTGTAGTTGTCAGTACAATACAGAGATAGTTGTGTAAGAAATAATTCAGAAGTTACGGAGCTACACCTGCATATTGCTCTATAATAACAGTTGTAGAAGAAGCAGAAAAAGAACAAATAATTTTTTTTCAACCCTCTGCTGTTCTCGGTGTATATTATTTAAAATTTTATTTATAAGGGGTCTTTGTGGAAAAAGTATTTTTATGCTCTTGGCGATGGCTCTGCTATAATAGCAGTGTGACATAGTCCGCACGGGCTGCTGCTTAATTATTTTTCCTGGTGGCTCAAACTTTATTTTACATGCTTTGCATTTAATTTTTCTTCATTTTTTTTTTCATTTTCTTTTGATTTTTCCTCTCTTTTCTCAGAAAAAGCTTTTCCATTTTACAGCAGCAGCCATCTGACAAAACAAAGCGCATGGTGCATCAAAGATGTAGGTTGTCCCTTCAGTTTTAAAAATCAAGGGGAAAGCAGAGTTCTTTCATTTCTTCCTTCTCTTCCTTGTCTGCTTAGCTGAGATGAGATCAAACAATCCTGTTTTATGAGTGATAGAACAAGCTACATGCCTGTCTCGCAGCATCCCAGCTGTAGAGACTGAATCAACTGTTTTGGAGGCTATTTAATTATGTCAGCACTCAGCACATTCAAAAATGCTCCAGATGTGCTCTTGCAATGAGATTGCTTGCAGAATCAGCTTTAAATTATCGTTCTTTCTGGAAGGCAAATGCTTCTAGCGGTATAACTCCCATTAATGAAAATGAAAAATATTTTCATAAGCCAGGGATGAAATAGTGGATTTCAAATACTGGTTGAATGACCATATTTTTAAAAAAAAAATTTCATCCAATAGGATGTTCACACCTAGCACACATGTACATCTGCCATTACCGTCAGTATAAGATCCAAAAAGTATGACAAATACAGCACCTCAAAATGTCCTGGAGTTTGTATGTGAAGCACATTTACTTAAAAACAGAATTACACTTGCCAAGGCTTGAGCATCTCATAAAGGTGAAGTATATACAGGGTTTTTTATTAATCTAAGCTATGATCTGAGTAGTAAATTCAGGAAAACAGGCTTTTTGGGGTAGGGTGAAATTTAGCTTTTGAATTATCTTGCTTTTTAGTGCCTTTCACCAACTTTGTATTTTGAGCCAGGCCCTGCAGTGTTAGTTTTGTTGGTAGAAAATTGCTGCCTTGTGTCTTGGTGCAGCTGAGGATGTTCCTTGCTCTGACTTTTGTGTCTGCTAATGGGGCAGCTGATCTCTTCATTTGCTGCAGCAGCTTTCAAGCAAACTGACAAGCAAAGACTGTTTTGGGGCTAGAAATTAAAGGTCATGATGGTCATCTCTATCATCACCTTTCATAGTAAGTACTGAAAGCTGGATCTTGAACTTTAAGCACTGCCAGGGATCAGGCTGCCCATTGCTTGACATCTTGAGATGCATAGTCCTGTCTTCATACAGGAGCTTAAAGCTTGGGGAATGTGGAGTATGTTGTTGCTAAATAAAATTGTTATTATTAAAGGCAAACAATAAAGGCAATCATACCTGTTTGGGGCACTGCACAAATGCAAAATTTAATATTTAGGATCTTTCCTAGTCCCTGTGCTCATGAAGATTCTCCAGACACCCTGTGAATGGCCCCCCTACGCCTTTCCTAGTCTGACCAACTTCTTCTGGTGTCTGACCAACTTCTTCTGGTCCAAGAAGCTCACTGGAGAGAGGCTGCTGGTGCCTGTCTCCTGGGAGCTGGGAAGGGACTGACTACCAGCTATAGTAATTGGTAGCTGTATTGAGATGAATATGAGTATTGTGACTATTGCAATTGCATGAAAACTCTGCAGAAAAGTGCCTCTCCAATCCCCTGGGCGATCTACAGTTGCTTCTGGTTCAGTCCCTCTAAGTGACTGAGCAGGTTGGAGCTGGCTCTGGGTGTCCACCACAGCTCATGCACCCACCCCGAAATATCCCACAGCCATCAAGCAGCTCATTGCTGTTGGAAGCAGAAAGCATGTCTGCTTCAGTGGTTCTTGGGAAGATGAGCTGCTGGGACGTAATGCACAATGTCCTTTGGGAATGAAAAATTGAAGCATTTGGGGGAAAAATCAAGATGAAATATTTCAACATCTTCCATTTCTTCAGTACAACAGATCCCATTTCCAATTCTAGCCAGGTACTTCATGAGCTTCATTGACTCCCAAAGTGCATGTATTTTTCTGTGAAATGATATTTGAAGAATGCCTTAGCCCAGCTCTGTGATTCAGGGATGTTTTCTCTCCCTCCTGCCCACCCTGTTCCTGCCCCAAGCAAGGCAGAGCTGCTGGCAGAGGTGAGCGAGGCTGGAGCACAGCAGTGTCTGGGGCTACTGAGCACAAACTCCATGGTGCTTTATTCCTTTTCTGCATCTCTCGCTCCCTGCTGGATTGCCACCCTTCTGACTCAAACCTTACTGAAAATTTATTCACCTACAGAGATGCTGAATTTGTCTATTTTTTTCCATGAAAATGGGAAAAATTAGGGTTTATGAAAAAATGCATTATCTGTATTTAGCCACCATAACATGGTTATTTCATTCTTCTTCACTATTTAAACAAAATTCCCAATGTGGCTGCTATTAGGGATGGAGGGCTGTAGGAGAAACATGTTTTGCTCTGCCCATTGTTCATTTTGCCCATGTAGTTGCAGGCAGGCATTGACCCAATACTCTCAGCCTCCCTTCCTCTTTCCCCTATTCCTAAATTCTCCAGTCTCACAACAGAAATAATCTACAAAAGCTCCCCTGAAAGGAGTTCTAGTTATACTTTAGGCATGTTTTTCACTGTTTTGTTTCACTCCAATCCTTCATGAGCTCTTACCCTGTTCTCCTGCAGGCTCCAGTGGAAACCAAATCCATGGGAGCACTGGCAGTGTGCTGCACTGGGGGGCTTGTGGTAACGGGTTACAACTGCTGGTGTAAATATATCACGTTATCATTTTTTTGTCATTGTTTGGGGCTAGATAAAAAAGAGGAAGGGCAGTTTCCTTTCTGAAGTTGGCTTGAATGCCAGATGGGTTTGCAAAACCAATAAATACAATGTTTTCATCAGCTGGCTTCCCAATGAGCATGCCAAGAGGTGACAGCTTCTCCTGGAGCAGGAGTGAGTAGTGGGGCTCAGGTAAGGCTAATATTTTTCAAGCAGTGAAAATAAGGGTAAGGCTAATATGTTTTCAAGCAACGCAGTCCTAACTGCTCAAAAGTTCTGTGACAGTGACACCTGCAAGTGCTATCTTGTGGATGTCCTCCCCCAAAAAAAGGAAAACTGGGAGATTTACAGAGACCTAAATGGGAGATGAACACCCTGTTGCTGTCACCTTTCAGTAGTAGATAGTGATTTGGTTTTTGTGTGTGTCAGTCTTCCCATAGAAAACCACTGGAAAAAATGAGTTCCACTTATTATTATTATTTAAATATTATTATTATTATTATTATTATTTAAATATTTAAATATTATTATTATTATTTAAATATTATATATTAATAATAATTTTAAAATATGTGTAAATAGTGAATTACTTTATGCAGTATCTTTGAGATTATAAAAGTGCAGTAGCTAAACAGGGTGACCCAATCTGTGTGTCACCATTTCTAGGAAGACCTAAAAGCTTGCTAGGCTATTGATGGGATAAAAAACTCTGTTTATGATATGTTGCAGTGCTGATAGCTGTATAGATTGAGCTTAATATGCCTGAATTCTTAGGTGGGACATGGAGTTCTTTGAAAAGACAAAAGGCTGACAGCTTTTCCCCACTTGCATAGTCACTGTCTATAGGCTAAACTTGTCTCCAGGCTTCTCTCTTGTTCTGGCAGGTATATATGTAGTCCCATGTTTTGAACACAATTGTTCGTCTTCTGTGGAATATGAATTTAGGAAGAGATCTCCAAGTCCCTAGAGTCTCAGGTAGAAATCAGACCACATGAAATATAAACAGCTGAGAATTTACTCTCTGTGGCTGAAAATTCAAGCCTGTCATTTCTGTGAAGACTTCTAATTTGTGTGTGTGATTAAAGATGCTCAGCCAGCCCTTCTGAAGGCGCTTAAACTAATAAACTCTGTTTCTTACTCAAAGCACAAAACTGACAACATCAATTTTGAAGAGCCAGGGAAGGAGTAAGTTTGAGTATTGCTAGGAAAATATTCTTCGGTGATGAAATCTTGTATGCCAAGTTTTAGCTTAAAGCAAATGCTAAGGACATAGATGACCCTGTAGAAAATGTTCCTTAAAACGCCAGTGTTGACAAACTGACTTTCAAAAGTACTTAGGATTGGCCCTGGGAGTTTAACCATAATCTTCAGTGGGAATAGATTCAGATCAGTGCAGAGAGCCTACGTGGAGCCCAATTGACTTCAGTGGTTACTGCACAGGAAGAATTGCAGTTTAGACAGATAATAAACTGTCTGCAATGGGGACTGTTACAGTAATGTGTTGCCTGTAGATGTTTCTCAGATCTTTTTGGCACAAAAGACAAGTATTTCACATAAGAGCATAAAATAAGCTCTAATTGAGAGTGCTTTCTAAAAATGTGATATGTATAATAAATGATTACTGAAAGAATAAAGATGTTTAAAATTATTCAAAGCAACTTTGCTTTAGAGAGATTTCAGTGTGAATTGATGTTATGAAATAAGTGATATAAAATCTGCTGGAGATAGATTGTAGTAAGTTACGGCATAACACTTTCTGATTCTTTAAGTACTATAAAAGTGTCCTAAGTATAAATAGGCTTACAATTTCTCTGGATCATTCTTGATGCTTGAATAATCTGTTGTAGCAGAGCCTCTGCCAGGCACAAACACACATAGCTCCCATGGATTTTCTTCTGCATCTAGCAGTGGCCATGCTTTTTTTGGATTGTTTTCCTTCCTGAAAAATGAAATCTAATTATGTAAATACAAGCTATACTTGTATATCATGGTAGCAGGAATCTTCACTTATTTCAGAAACTCCTCGTGTTCTAATTGTATAAAAAGAAATGAAATATCCCTAAGGGGAACAAGGCAAGGAAAGGAAAACTTTGGTTATCACAGTTTTACAAATACTCATCTGATGAAGGCAGCTAAGTCATAGACTGAAGGGACGTCCAAGTCTATGGCAAAATGGGGAAATTAAACTGTCTCCTACATTGAAGTCTTTTATAACATGGCCTTTACTTTTACCCAAACAATGTTAAAAACAGAAAAACGATAATGTAATGTTAGAGGCAGAAATGCCACATGCCATTTGGAATGCTAATTACTGTAAAAAGCGATCGTATCCACATTTATCTATAGGACTTGGGAAAACTGACTGGCACCTCCCACGAATTGCTGCTCAAACACGCTTGAGTCGCTCAGTTAGCAAGTCAGCAGCTTTCCCATCAGCATGGCACATATTTAATAAGTCAGAGTTTCCCCAGACAAAGCAACTTCTCATGGAAACTTTCTGGAATCAGACATCTTGCTTAAACACTCCTCCTTGAGTCTCTGTATCCTACCAGGGACTGAAGTCATGGTGAAGTTAGCTTAACAAAAGGAGAATGAGGATCCATCAGTAAGATAAAGCAAAACCAATGCTGATTATTATATTGGTTCAGCCCTACAGGCCATGTTTTTCCAACCTTGCTTCCTGCACAGAGTTCGTGGGGATGGACACACATTTGCCCCTAACACCCAGGCGCAGTGGGATCTTGTACCATGGGATCATTAAGACAATAATTCTTCTTCCCAAGATTTCAGTAATATAGAGATTGGTTTACACGTAGGTGTATATTTTTGTTACTATTAATACTTTTAATACTATTAATACCACACTGGCCCAATAAACAAACAAAGCAAAGTATAACTCAAATGAAACCACTATTTAATATCTTTGTAGAGGACACAAAGGAAGGTTAGGTGTCAGGGAAGGTAAGAACGTAAGTGCTAATCTCCAGCTTCAAAGACAGCATTAGTAATGTTGCAGGGACAGTAATTACATGGAAAAAAATTAAAACACTAAAATTGCACTTGACAGAATACCTTTAAACTAATATAGTGTTTGAGTCCACTAATGGTTTCTGGCTCCAATAAGTTTCCACAATTTTCTCTTTATTTAAGTCTTAAACTCTCCAAATTAAATGCAATTGGAAAATCGGTTTTCTTGTTTTACTTTATGCTCTTGCTAAATCAGCATCATTATATGATCTTGTTTTCCAGTTTCAAACTTTTCACTCTTTTTCATTGATGCAAAGTTTTGTTAGAACAGAACTGAAAACATTCTTTCTCTATTAAAGTGATTTTTAATTTCAATTTTGTCCTTTTCATATGTCCCATCTCCTTTGCCCTTCCAGTATTTTTATGGTCCATGACCAAATTATGTCTGGGGATAGCCCTTGGCATCCTGGTTTGGGCCAGGATCACAAGGCCACTGGAAATCAGTGGAAAATGTTTTCCAGTGCTTCAGACACACACCTACAGAATAAAGCAGAAATGGCAGAAGAAAGGAACCTATCATCTGTAATGGTCACTGCCTCAGGTTCTTATAGCCCTTTGTAGTCTCCTTGCTGGCCAGATTGCACCCATCTGCTGTGGTGACTCATCGAGGAAAATGTGGGGGAAAGCAATAAAAGAATTTTTGAGTGCGGTGACTGTCTCCCATTTAGTTCCAGTTTTCTGGTGATGATGAATATCTTGGCTAGAGGTACTTTGATTATCTTCATATTCCAAGTGATTTTGTGTTACTTCAAGCGAAAGCCACAAAAGGAGGAAACCTGTGCATCAAGCACCTTCCAGCTGTGTCCAAGGCACCAGGAAGGTGAAGTTGCATCTTATTTTTTTTTTTCCTGGTGCTCACTGAATATTCTTTAAAATTTTAAAATAGTTTTTTTTTGTGCTGAGACTTGAAATCTTGGGCATAGGTACCAGGGGAAATTCATGTTCTGCTGGAGCTCATCTCAGGCTGAGGCTGTTTTGCGTCTGGTATATCTGTACAGCCCTTTGTCTTGAAATTATGTTTGCTTTTGAGATATATATACACCATACGTATATAGATACTAGTAGTTAATAAGTAAAGGAAAGCAGTATGTCAGTAGAGGATTGCTCTTCTGGCTCTCAGTTAATCCCTTGTCAGCTCAGAATAACAGCACTTTAACCTACCAGAGCTGCTTTGAGTTTCATCCTGGGTTAGAATTTTTAATCCGGACCATGATATGAACGGAGAGTACTATTGATCCAAGGTAAGTGCTTGTGTATGGATAGATAGGAAAAATCTGTTTATTTGTTTACGCTACCAGCTGTAATCAAACGGTACAGGAAAAGCACAAGACCATTTTTCTATCATGAAATGGCATTCTGGATGCAAATACTGGTCTGAAACCTGCCAGGGTTTTTAGATCCTCACTTAGTGTTTGCTCAGCAAGCGTCAAAGTTTGCCACTGCAAAATTTTGCTCTTGCTTTGCAGTCTGAGAATAAACAGTTTTGCTCAGCTCTGTTAGCAGCCCTTAGCCTCTAAAGGTTATGATCAAGCAGATCTGCTAGAGAAAAGCCACATTTAATTGGGATTCTTATCTCCTGGGAATTCTCCCTCGGCTCTGGAGGGGAAATCTCTCTGCCTTCGCAGTGTAACACTTTTGCTTCAGCACTAGGCAATGCATATTTCATTGAGCCATGGGGAGACTCACCGCTGACACCAAAGAGGGCAGCTGGAGCTGCATGAGGACTTCAGAAGGGCTTCCTGGGAAAGCCCTGACTGCAGGAATCCTTCCAGAGCTGCTGAAAGAAGAGAAGATGTGCTCTGTATAATTGAGGCAGTTTTCTTCCTCCAGCTGGTAGGATGAGATGTAATGTTCACACAACCGGTGCAGGGAGAAGCAGAGATGCCTCCGTGGCAGTTTTCCTAGCTGACCTTTTGCTTTACCAGTGATTTTGCTGATTCTTTTCCTTCCCTCCCCTGTGCCCCCCCGAAAAAGCTGTGCAACTCACTGCAGCAGACGGAAAAATTTTGCATTTCCTATTTTCTTCCAAGCCAGACTAAGAGCTCTATGTACTCCTCATGAGGCATTTTGCTAATCGATACAGATCCACATCACCTTGTCACATTCAGCAAATGTGAGAGGCTGCCCAAGAGCTGCACCCTTCTCCCACATGTGGACGTGCCACAGCAATGTGCATTAAAATGCTGTTGTGGTTGTGGGCAGTATTTTTTGGAAACTGAGCCTCGTGAACGAAGGAGCAGTGGTAATGAAGTGATATACTGTTGGTCTTGGGGCTAGTGTAGTTAAGGAGAAGCTATAGCTCTTCCTAACAAGGGAAAAAGCAATTTCTTAGAGTTGAACTTTGCAATAATGAAATGTGAAACTCGGTGTACGTATCACTGCTGTAGCTAAGGGCCATCGGCTGCTGATGGATCAAAATGTCCTCAGTCTCCAAAGAAATTCTCAGAAAGGCCAAGAACAGTTTCGTAGTTTTAGAGGCTGTGGAACATCTCTGAGCTGCTCAAAACTAGTTGCAATACCTCAAGCAATAACCCCACTTGTTTTGTTTTGTTTTCAGAAAAAGCAGAAAGAATCTAACACAGAAAGTAGAGTAGTAGAAAAAAAACAGTGTAGACTTGAATTAAATTCCATATTTTTGGGAACAGCATCAGAAAATGTGTATAACTCAGTAAACATCATGTATACATCTAGCTTAAAAGAAGGATTTTGCAGAGCATTTTGAGCAAAACATATATTAAAGTATCACCATTTCTGAATATTCTTTTTTACATTAATGTTATAGGCTCAGTAGTACTTAAGTATGATTATTATTTTTATTGTTTTTGTATAGTCTTTCTAATATGTCTGGTAAGAAAGATATAGAAGAATAATTAGAGATAAGCCACTTTTCAATTAACTGCTACCTGCTGCTACCCGTTGGTGGACATAAATTGCTAGCAGATAATTTTATCCTTGTATTACTTGAGAACCTTTGGACATCATGTGCTTGACCTAAATTTTTAATGATATTATGAAGCCTTAGTTAAATATAAAAATGATGATTTTGGAGCACAGTTCTTTAATAAAGTTCCTTGGGCTGTATTTTTCTTGTATTCAGCTCAGCATGTGAATGTTTTTGTGTCCTTTTGCTTTAGCTACAACAATGTGGTTTCTAAACCTTAACATGGACTGACTGACATAACCCATTAGAGGCTACATTGGAGAAAAGGCTGGTGAGATCTGTTCAAAGGAAATTCTAACTGAGTTTTTGACAAAAAGTAACAGTGCTTAGTCATGAATCTATGGATGAATACAATCCAAGTTTTGGTTCAGATATGTTATTTCCTGAGCCATAATGATGCTGAAATGTAGGATGTGTAGTGCTACTAGAAAAAAAAGGATAGATTTCAAATTGTTCTTTTGAAATAATTGTGATTTTTTTCCTCACATTTCAGCCTATTCCAAGTAATGTAAGTGAATATAGAAAGAGTTTTCTACTCTTAAAGATTACCAAGTTTTCTACTCTGTAAAGTGTTCTATGAAGAAATAGAATATAATCTTCAGTAGATAAAAACTAATTAGGAGGCTTGTGTACTTAAATGTAGAATTAGTTCTCTCTATGCTTAGGAGTGAAGCTTATACCTTATTACTCCCACAAGAAGAAAATAAAAATACATCTTTTCATACATACCAAAAATCCAACAAAAATGAGAGTTTCTTCTATACAAAAGCTAACCTACTGTGTCTTCCATCCACAGATACAACAAATGACATCAGTAAGTGAATATTTGCATAGCACCAAGTGTGACATATATGTAGTATGTAGTCAGCACAAGTTTTACTTAATCTGTTTTCTACCATCATTCCATTCTATACTTCCCTCACCAGGTTTATGTTACAATGATGATTGAAATATTCACTAACTTTTTTTTTTTTTTTTTGATGGGGGATGTTAAACAGAATTCTCTTTGGTATGAGATGCGCAGTGTTACAGTACTTTAAGATGATATCATCGCAGACTTAATCAAAAGTGCACCACTCCACTTTAGTAATCATTTTGTTTTCCTAATCCCAAATGTTAAAACACATGTAAGATACCTCTTGTATCACCAGGCTTATTTAAAAATCAGGGGATATATATTAATGTTAGACATTAAATTAGCCATGAGATTTTAGCCTTCAGGGTTTGGATTTTCAGACATTCCCTGCACCCTGTGGGCTGGACGTGCTGCCTTTGTTTAAGTATGAGCTAAGTCTCTTCCATGATGATGTGACTCCTCCAGGGGATGTTTGAGCAAAACACCATATTGTGTGAGCGGCAATAATGCTGGCAATATAGATAATGCTGGAAAAAAAAAAAGACAAGACAGTGTGTTACGGGTGTATCTGACCCATTGAGACTAAAGGGGTACAAATGAAGGCTGTTTGGAGATGGGATAAAAATTGCAGGTGGCAGGCAGTAGGCAGCACATGGGATCAGCCTGTGAATGTCAGCATTTGCAGGTTGCCCCCCAAAATACGCTGTGAAAAACAAAAGGAAATTTAATGAAAACAAAACCCATCCCTCCCCCAGTTTTCAGATGAAGAGAACTGAGGCCTGGAAGAGCAAAATATGTTTCTCTCTTTGCACTTGAAATAGCACATCACTGGGGAGTGCCTTGATGGAGGTGGCAGTGTCCAGGAGCAGGTGGGCTGGAGCTGGAGCACATCAGTGAATGTTTCCACAGGGTAACAGATCAGGATTTGTCCAACTGTGTCTAAATATCACGTCCTTCTGAGCCATATGGAAATGCTCAGGGGGAAGAATATTATCTGGTCTTTGTCATAAAGGCTGCTAAACCTTCTTCCCAACTGTTCCTTGATATTGATTATCTCAGTGCAAAGAAAATGTAGCAGGGAATTATGAAGTGCTGTCTGAAGAAAAGAAAACCTAGAACTAGGTTTCTAGGGGTTACCTTTGATCTAAAGTTTTAAACTTTAATTTGGTATTAAAAAGAACTTAGTTGATCTACCCAATTTCATTTAAAATACAATGGCAATAATTTCTTTGAATTATAGAAGTAAAACAAAAACAAACAAAGACACTTCTGAAGCTAGTAAACTCCTTTAACTTAAAGCATCCACAAATTTCTTTAATATTTCTTTACAACTGCTTTCAGACTGAGAATCTGTTATATGGCTCAGCTGCAGGAAAATTTTATGGCTGAGTTATAACCCCCTCTCCCTAAAAATAGGCAGCATATAAATGATGGGACTGCAATAGGCGAGGAAGGAAGTGATTACAGGACCCAGATAAAAGAAATTCATCAGAGCCAAGGTCAAGGGAAGGAAGAACTTTGGAAATGTGCTGAAAGTAAAGGTAAATCCACTCATGAAAGTGTCATTATCCTGCAGGCTGATATCAGATAGTGATATGAGTATCGGCCTCTATTTTCTTTTCCTCCATGTATGGATTTCTGAAGTCCAGTTCCAATTAAGATACAAGTCCATGGAGTTTGATGGTAAGTGAAAAATAAAAATGCTGTTGACTGTTTTAATAATAAACACCAGATATGCCTTTGCAAATTTTCAATTCAGATACACTTTAGGTAGTAGCTGGCACTCAAAAGCTTTCTTGCTCATGGTAATCTTACCTAAATCCCTAATAACTATGAATTAGGCTTTAACTTTGTGACAGCCACCTCTCAGAAAAGAATGAAAACACTTCTGTTTCAATCCACAGAAACATCCTGTTATGGTATTTCAGTTCATCCTCTTTTAATCACCACAAGAACCTGAAAGTGCAAAGGCGCATGAAAAATAAAAATAAGCACTTTACCAGGCATTTCTGAACTTTAAAAAACAAGGTTTAGTTTGGTTCAAGTCAGGCTTGACAGATGAGCAGTAGTGTTTATAGGTTCTTAGTCTTCCACGCAGGTTGTCCTATCCAAATTTTATGATGGCAAAAGTTGTCCGATTAAATCGCCCATTTTTCCATTTGCGCTTTGATAAATCACTTTTATGCAGATAGTAAAAAACACAGAAAACTTGGCAGATCCTGATCTGGCCTGTTAGCCGTGTACTACCTCTCTGCAGGGTGCTGAAAACAGAATTATACACAGGGACTGTCCCCTTTTTTCCAGCAGGATGAGTGCAGGTCTGAAGCACAGGCTGGTGACCGAGGACAGGGCTGGCTTGGAGCAGAGTCCCCAGCAGGACCTGTCCAAGGGCAGCAAAGTTTTCAGCTTGCACCTCTTCTTCTTTCTGAAGTTTTAAGATTTCTGAAATGAATTTTTGCTGTGTGAGGTAAAAGAGGCCTCAGGCAACTTCATCTTGCACAACCAGCCTTTGCCGACCTTGGCAGAAACACAAAGGTCGCGTTTAACTTTTCACACAGGCGAACTATTGAACAATGGCTGCTATGTATTAGGAATAACAAGGATTTTCTTTAGCATTTCTTGTGCAGGTTTCTTTTCATCCATTCTTTCCTTCAGAGAATACCCTGATTTCCCGTGAAATGGGTTCCCTTTGCAAGGCTGACTCTAGCTGCTGATTCCTGTCCACCATCCGTCTTAATGCTCCAGTGGAGAGAGCAGCTGGTAATTTGGAGTGAAAATGTGATTTTTGCTTAAAAATAGCATAAAAAAGACTCAACAATGGCTAATAGGAAAATGTATCAGAGAATGACGCTTATTACATTGTTCCTGAGCTTCAGTAATGCGTTAGGATTTTCTCTCATTAGAGTGTTAAAGCACGTGAAAATCCAAACTCAGTGAACAGAAAGAACAAAAACAACACTGAAGTTGTCTCTTCAGGTAAGGCAAATTCTGGTTTTCTTGTTTAAAGTCTCTGCTACCTACAACACTAACTGGACCAGAAGGCAGGCCTGGTGAAAGGGTGATGGCAACTGGATTTGTCCCTGCCTGCCTGATACACACAGCTCCCCACAGGCACGGTGCCACAGCCCTAGTTTCTGACCCATCTGGGATTCATCATGGGTCACAACTACCACAGCACAGCTGGAAAACATGGAAATATGCTGGGCTCTGGGGCCAAACAGTAAGTTTCAAGGAGAAACCTCGTAGTCCTTCCCTGACCTGGGAGGCGATGTCCTGTGAACAAGGCCTGTAACAGAGCCATGGGGTTTTGCAAATGAAAGAAATAGCTGTGTGAAAAGGAAACAATATGCCATATAAATGAAAAAAAAAAATAGGGACCATTAAATTTTGTTGGGAGAAAGAGAAAAAAATCTTAATTTCCAGCAACAAGTTGCTGCCATTGTTATGTGCTGCCAAATATTTGTGCTATTGTACCTTTAGCCTGTATCTGCACAGTGGATCTGTGGGTGTGTATGGGGAACCATAGCATGTTGCTTTCCCTTTTGGGGTGTCTTGTGGGCTACATGAAATGGATGGAGACTCCTAAAGAATATTATGGTTGTGCAGGAACACTTTAATTTTCTTTTATTTTCAACTAGACAGATAAAGTCTTCTGGTTATTTTTCCCTTTGTTTACAACAGAAACCATATGGTTATGAACCAGAGTTCATTACTGTCAAGAAGCTTGTGGAAGCCTAGAAGAAGGAGTTATTAACTTTTTAAACAGCATTTTTTTTAACGCAGAATAAAAGCTGAAATGGACTGGCAGCTAGGTGCTGAGCCACAGATATGTACAGCTCTTCCTGGCCCCACCGACCTGCCCAGTGCACAGGAATTAAGGAGAAAAACAGGTACAAGGACTCTGCACGAGAGGGGCAGGGAGACACTGGGGTCCATGGGGCAGAAAAAGGCATTGCAGGCAGCGGGTGAAGAGCTGCCAGCAGGGCCGCGTGTGGCTCCTGATGCTGCTTCTTGTGTGTCCAGGCTTGGTTCTGCAGAGGCGACATCATCAGATGTGCAGATCTGTGCAGCAGGGTTCCCAAACAGCAGGGGGAAATTAGAAACTCCAGACACCCTCAGAGTTCCTTTTCAAGTCTTATTTTCTTACCTCATTTTAACCTCTGTGAGGCTTTGTGCTCGAGGCCTCTGAGCACAAACTACAGCGAGTGCATTTGGGAGCACCCGCATCCCAGCCCCTGATAAGTAATTGGGTCTGTGCCAGCACATTACAAGGCGACTGTATAGACAATGCCTTTTATTGCCTAATCAAAATACTCGGGGCTTTTACATTTTGCAAGGCTGACTTGCCAAAGGCTTCCTTGAGCTGCACATGCTGCTGCTTTGTCTTGCTTTTATGCCTTATTGAATTCCATTAAAAGACAAACAAATCTCGCAGTCATTAGGCACCTCGCTGACAACACCTGTCAGTCTGTCACTCCGAGTCACAGGCAGCTACCGTGGAGCTTCATTTGGCAGAATTAGGGGAAAATAGAAAGAAACATATCTGGGGCACCTGTCCTCTGCGAAGGAGTGATAGGATTATTGGTACCTAAAAGGAGCTCATTGTGCTGCTCAAAGAAGGTGGATAACAAGTACCATTGCAAGCCAGTTGCAGTAATCAGTGTTGTTCATCATGTTCGTGGATTCTCAAACATTTTCCCAATTTTTAATGGGGAGGAGGCAACCACATTGCGAGTGTTCAGTTATGGACACCCTGGAAACGTGCACAAAGACAGATACACAACCACACATTCCTCAGCAATTAATTGCCATTGACCTAACTTGCGTTTGTGACCTTGCAATGTAACAAGTGCTACTTTAATCCACAGAGATCCCGTTTGCTTTAGAGGAACTATTAAAAGGATTAGGGAAATTTCCATTGTGAGACTTTTTACTCTAAGATGGAAGGTTTTACTATTGTACCATGTATGTACACAGAGAGAAAATACCTCTTCTTCAGAGGTAAATGATTAAAGGGGTTGAAAGCGAACACTACGGATACTTTTTCCTCAAAAATGCGCAAACAAAACCCCAGTCTCTGCTTTTTAACCAGTCTCTGATTTTGTTTGGTCTTTCAACTGGCATTGTTCCAACAATTACTACTTAGTGACTTGCATGTTCAATGAAGCCTGTGTGGAAAAAGTTTGCACTTTTGTCTTCCACTTCTATTTTAAACTTTTCTTTGATTTCATTCTCTCTTTTTTTTTTTTTGTTTTTTGTTTTTTGGGGGGGGGGTTTATAGGGATACAAAATGGAAGAGAGCTCCAATAAATCTGCATTGCCCTAGCTCCACCGAGAAGCTATTGTACAGTTCTGCAGCTCCTGGACACCACTGAACAAGGGCATGCCCATGGTTTTTTTTGTGAAATTTGGAGCATTCCAGGTCACTCTGATCTTACTGGTAGGAAAACAGGGCAATATCCAAAGCTTTGTGAAGTCTGTCAGTTATGGATATGTAAAATTAGGGAGAAACAGCAAAGAAGTTGCATCTGAGTAGAGCATATGTTATTTGACATATATTTTTGTACACGTGGATCTAAAATTCAAACGATGACTTTTATTTCAACTAATTATGTGTTGTAGGTCTATTACAAGTAGTCCTGACATAATTTTTTAGGACCATAGCATTCCTATTATCCTTTATGTCTTCAATTAGGAATGAAGAAACTTGGTAAAGTGTAAAGCTGGAGAAAAAGAGTAAAAGTAAAACACTTGGTAAAGTATAAAGCTGAAGAAAAAAGAAACTCAGTAAAGAGTAAATATCCTGCAGGCTGAAACGCTGTTGGAATGACCCATGTTCATTGGAGCCAAAGGTGTGTTAGGAGATGATTTCCTTGAATACAGCTGATGTTCCCGTAGCATGGTTTTTGTGTTTATCCTGCCATCCCTTTCCAGCCTTATTTTGCAATTGAAAACTGCTTTGTGCTGGTTTAGATGCATCACACTCCTGCACCAGTTGAATGCTCAGGGACTGGTTTGCATCCTGACTCCTAAGGATGCATGAGGACCAGGACTTGCTGGGTCTGGCTGAGCTGTCACATCATGAGTTAGCAAAGATAATAAAAACTATCCAGCCCTAGGACACATACAGTAGCTCTGGAACAGAAATAACAACCATTTCTGTACTCAGTACAACTTCTGCAGCCAACACTGAAAACTTTATTATTTAATCTCATCCATTCCCATGTTGGTGCACGAACCACTTGTACACCGTTCCACTCATTGCATCCAGACAATGCGATCTGTTTTGCTTTTCCAGACAATTTCATATTATTGTTGTTTTTCTCCTATTCAGTCCAAGTTTCCTTTATTTTTTCAATTTATTTTTAAGCTTCCCATTGAAAATGATAGCTGTACCACTGCTGGGGCCAGTGCTATCGGGAATCCCTTTCTGCTGGGTTTTATCCATGGGGCTCTCATGCTTCTTCTGTGCCCCATGTGAGCCCAGGGAGGGTAACCACATCTGTGCGTTAACACCTGGCTGGTAAACATGAGCTGAGTTCCTGAGAGAACAGTAAAGTTTCTGAAAGAACAGTAAAAGCTCTTATCTTTTAATCAGCAGCTCCTGGGCTAATTCCCATTGCCCATTTCTGAGCTCCACCATCCTCACGAGGCATTGCACTCTATCCCAGGGCAAGGAGCCAATTTGACAGGGTTTTTGTTGCTGACCTGCACTGAAGGTTGCAGCTCTAAGTGCTGTTTCCCTACAAGAAAGGTGCCTTTGTGTCTGAAAGAAAACATCATCACTACATGGCTTTTTCAGGGGAGTTTTGCCTGTTGATCTTGTATTATCAGGAGCAGAATACCCGATCTGCGGAGGGAATAAAGGCTTTCTGTGGTCACAAAAGATGAGCTGTCTATGTGGGCTTGGGAAACCTATGGAGAGGTGCGCCTGACACAAAATACAGTCAAATCAGAGGGAGACTTCCCATTTATTTCAGTGGGTCTTGGCCCAAACCCTTGTGTTATGCTGAGACACACCCTGTGTTTGGTAAAAAAGCACCATGCTGCCCATAACAGCAGGCTGCTGGGTATGAAAAGGCAAAGCTGGAGAAGCAAAACCACAAGCGGCTGCACAAGGGTCAGGACCACAGGTGACTCAGCCCAAAGGACAAACTTTGTATCTGAGAGACGGTCCTACCCCAAAATATCTAACTGCCAGTGGTCTTCAGCAGACTTTATGGATTTATGACTGTATATAATGACCAGCTTTTTCATATATATATATATGTATATATATATATATATAGTTTTCATTAGTGTTACACCAATCTGAATCTTTAAAAAACTTACTAATAGTTTTTATAGTGAAAGGGGACCATGAAGATAATATTTTCTAATTGGTTATCATGCATAACACAGGCCTAAGAATATCAGGAGTTGGCCTTTATCCTGACATCAGTCCCAGTTCTCTTCCTGTCTTTATGGAAAAGGATTTTATACAAAACTGTATGTATTGGGAGAAGGAAAAGCTTGCCCCTAGTTTGTCAGGTGTGCCACTGTAAATGACCAGTGCAGTCACATCTGTGATAAACTGGAGGGTTCTGGTTGCAAGTGGGGTTTACAGCGGCCATGTGAGGTAAGCACAAAGAATTTATTGTGTAAGCAGTTCACGCGTATAAAATGTGCAGCTGTCTTTATTATTAAATGACTTTGCTGGCGTTTCAATATGCAATTAATTCAGCATTAAAAGGCCCAAAACACTCCACAGGCATTTCCATGGCGTGCAGAAGCTGGTATTTTGCTGAAAATGGAAGGGGAAAATCGGCCCTGAAATGCATCATGTGAACACGAGGTGGCACCTGGATCTCATAGATGGAGCAGGAGCCAGCCTAGGCAGACTTCCTACACACCAGGAGCACTTTATTTATATATTTTTATTGAAAAGCTGGAGAAACAATATGAAGATAAGGGGCTGAAAAAAATGCTGTTGGCATAATGTATGGGCTGTATTTTCTTTTTAATGCATGCTTTTTCTGCTTGGGATAGGAGTGCTGTTTGGCTGAAGGAGTGAATGCTAGTTAACACTGTACTGTTTCCCATTGCAAAGGAGCATGTGGTGACCTTTTGGACCTTCGGATATATCTGCTGCAATCGGTGGCACCTCTTTTGTAGCTGGGAAGACATTCTGGCTATAATTAAGTTGGGTGCTCTCCTTTGTGCTTTCCCCTGTAGTCATCAGTCAGGCTGCTGCGTGTATCTTTGGTGCATTTTTTCCTTTCTGGTTTGATCCTAAGGGAGTCGTCTTTCTTCATTTATGTTCAGCACAATATTCTGGAGCAATGGAAACCTTCGATGAACTTTTCGCTTGAGTTCCTGCTGGGGCGACACCATGGACCAAGCCATCCAATTTCCACCACCTCCCTTCTCTCCTGCAGGCTCCTCCAAAGGGGCTGAAGGCTCAGAGGGGCTTCCCGAGATACCCACTCCCCCAACCCACAGGCAGAGACCTGTGGAGCTCGCTTTGGTCCTAAGGTTGGTTTTCCTCTTAAAACCTGAAGACTCGGAGCTGCATTTTCTTTCCCTTGAAGACCCCATCATGGTGAGTAGGCCAACCTCTCAGTGACAGGCAAAAATACATCCAGTACACGCTCACTTTACATGGACAAGAAGTAACCCTTCTCCATGAAACCATCAACATTGTGGGACAATTGGCTTGTCCAAATTAGTAGTCAGTGAAATCAGCCCTTGTGTTTTTTCCCATAGATGCCAGTGCGAAGGAGTGGGTCTCCCATTTCCCTCCTGTCCAAGCTGAAGGACTCAATATAAAACTACAGGATTTGTGTGAGCTGGAGACAAAACATGCTCAGAAGAGGAAATTCAGCTAGAGAACATTTTTGAAGTAGTACATTCAAAATCTCTATTTCAGAAAAACCTGGTAAAACTTGTCTTGTACTATGGGATGTTTAGTATGTTAACATGGAAAAGGCCACAATAGCTTGTAAAATCTAGGACAGAAACCTGAAACGTTCACCTCCACCCACTTTAAATATATCAGGCTTTGAGTAACAAAATAATAAACTCAGTCTCAGAGATTTTACTCCAGAAAGGGAGAAGGAACGCTAATGATTTCATATTAGCACTGAGTTCTGATAGGACATGCTCATCCATTACAATAAAAGCACATAAAGTTATGATAAATGTAAGCTTAAAAATGGAAATGCCAGCATCAAAAATTGCTGTGAAACTGCTGCTCCCTGAATGTGATCTGATTGTGCTGTAAACTTGATTGTGCTGTAACTTTCAAACAATTATGAAAACATTTATGTATTTTTATTAGCACTTGTAAATTATGCAGGGCTTTTTACTGTAGAGTCATAAGAAAGAGGAAAGCCTAAATGTACGGCAGAGATCTTCCAAGTTCCTAACATATGAAAAAGTCATGATGATCCTTCACTTAATTAATGTCATGTTTAATAGCACATTATTTTCTGCAAAGATTTAGCTTGGCCTCATAGAGGGAGATGGAAATCGCTGATGGCTGGATAACCTTTTCTGGTCTCTTGGGAATAAAATCACAGCCCTGGATATAACTATTACTAATGCTGAGGTGTCTTCCCAGCACACTGCTGCCACGTCCTGTGGACAAGGGAAAGCCCTCAGGTGGAACAACGTGGCTGCAGCTCCGTGCTGGTGGCACACTCAGCTTCTCTTCTTCTCCTGTTCTTCATCTTCTTCTTCTTTCTCTTCTTTGGGAAATTTGGTGACATGGCTTTCATAAGGGCAGGATTTGACCTTAAGCCCTGAAGTAGCTTCATTTTTGAATGGTATTTTTTTATTAATTCAAATGGCAGTTTTGTCTGCGTTTTGCCCTTAGACCCAAGCTTAGGGGTGTCATGAAAACTTCAAATAACTTAAATCTGGTGGAAACAGTCTTTGTTACATCTGAAAATGCTTGGCTGGCTTCTGCAGGGAGCAGGATCTCCTCCAAGTCAGCACACCCAAACCTGCACCTGCAATTGCTGTAAAGGAGGAAATCCTCAGTGGAAGGATAAGCTACTTTGGAAATAACAAAACCCAAGTCCAAGCAAAGACTCAAAGGAAAAGGTGAAGATATTTTAACCACTGACACAGATTTCTCCTTTTTTCATGCAGAACAGCAGCTGAAAACATTTAAAGAAAATGATTCTTAGCAGTGAGTGGCTTCAGGCTTCTGCTGGGCAGTGCTGGAGGAAGGTGGGTGAGATGCAGGAAGCGAGGAGCTCAGGATGCCCGGCCATGTGTTGGGGCTCCTGTTTGAAATGTTGTGGTGGCTCTGAGCCCATGGAGTGCTGGTCTGGCTGTTGGTAGATGTCAGGCACTCAATCAAGCAGAATGAAGACTGTAAGCAAATAAAAAGAAAGAAGTCACTAAGTATTTATCATGCATAAAGCCACCTTCAACCTGTCAAGAGAAATAATTGCAAAATGATCCAGTAACACTCGACTTGCTGAGATCTCTGTCAGCTCTAACTGGGAAGTAAATAATACAGTGAGTTTAATGGTCTAAGTTACTTGAATTCAAACGTTAATTTAATGAAATAACTTAGCTGTCATAAATGCCAAAACATGCCATTATCGTACAATCACACCCGAGTAAGGGCTGAGCAGGCTTTACCCACTTGACTAACCCATTTCCCCATCCCCAGGCAGCTGCTGCTCCGAGGCTGCTGATTGTAGGGGTGTTGTAGGGACACCCAGCCCGGCACTGAGCTCTGTACAACAGCAGCTTGATTCTTCCCTCTGTCTGCAGAAGCTGATCCCAAAAAGCTGAGGTCTACACTTGGAAAATGCTGAGTACTGGCTTTGATGCAGTGTCCTGTTTTGTCTTGCTTTTTTCGTTAAAAATACTAAAAAAAAACCCAACAAATTATAGCCTATGGCAAGCTGTAGCATTTAAAATGAGAGACTCCAGAGTTCCTCAAATGCATCCTTTGTAAAATTTTTAATTTTCATTAATGTCACATGCAGTTCTCTATCCTAAGGACCCCTCTTGGTGGAGCTAGCAGGAGAAGGCAGGTCTGGGCTTCCTGATGGCGAAGCAGTTATCCCTCAATGACCTCAAAAGGAAGGGAGAGAATTTTCAAAAGTTTCCATTTATTACCCCAAATTTATGAACTACTTTTCAGCTTCACCTTTATGCTGTTTTAGATAGCCAGTCCTGGATGTTGCAAGGCTAAGAATTCATGATCAGTGGAAATATTTGGAAATATTAATCAGATTGCAGGTATGTGAAGATAGAGTTTGTTTCCAAGCAGAGATTAAAAGACGTTTGAAAAGTTATGCATAGTTATTAGGGTAAGATTTTACTATCAGCAATGACAGTATTGTTTTTCTCGCAGTTTGAAAAAGAAGTAAAACCATCACACTTCAGGAATGAAGTACTGAAAATGTTAGCAGCTTGGACTCTCCAGCAGGTTAGCTTGTGCCGTTCCTTACGTGAACCTGTATGTGTTTAATTGTGCTCTCCCAGGACAGGGTCCTCAGACAATGCTGGTGAGCACAGCTCCGTGAGTGTTGGTGGCATAATGCAGTTTTTGCTCAGCGAACTTTTGGATAGAATCACAGTTTTGGAGTTCCCAAATGCAGTGGCAATGCACTCCCCTGTAATGTCTGCAGAGGAAGCTGGGGTGAAATAAGTTCATGCCTGAATACCAGAAGTTCATACCCTTTGCATCTAGCCGTAGATAAAGCACAAACTCAGGGAACCCAGCTTTCTTCTCTCAAAGCAGAAATAATGGTGGGCAGGCAGGAGAAGGGGAAAAAGGCCGAGAGTAGCATCGGTAAAAAGCATCAGTAGTGTGGGCTGCTGAAGGGAATCGCTGTTGAGGAGCTGAGGCATTCCTGGTAGCAGGGCTGCCCCTCGGAGCTTGTGTAAACACCTGTGAGCTGGATGCAGGCATGGGCTGGCTCTATGTGGGCAAGGGCACCTCCAGACATCGCTGCCCTGCTCTGAGAAGTGCCTGCAAGCCTGCACGTGCTGGGCTTGGCTGCCTCGGCAAGCCAGAACGTCACACTCCAAACCCTGCCTTTAGGATCGTCCTTATTTTTGGCTTCCAACTCTTCGGGTCACTCTCTGTGAATTATTAAAATGTGTGCTAAATTGTGCAAAGCTCTAGCTAATTATGATGTACTGATTAATTTCAGTAGACAAGTGTGGCAGTTCTAATGAATATTAATATTTTTTAGGCTGGGAGCTGCTGGCAAGAGGAACAAGCTTTCCGCATGGGTAGTGAGCGTGGCAGAGCACTACGGGGTTGATCAGCATCTCCTCAACTTCGCCTGGTGACGCTTTCAAGTCTTGTTTGCAGCATCAACGTCGCCATTGCAAAATGTAAGCTGTGAGCAGCTACAAATGAGTTATGAACGTTATTAATCAGAATCGCCCCCAAATCACCACCACCTGAAGAAAGGAAGAATAATTCATTGCAGTATTTCTGTTTGACATCACCCACGGTAAAGTGTGAACAGCAACACGCTACTTATTGGAAACTAAGCAATGAGATTTACAGCTAAATGACTTTCGGGGAGAACAACAGATTTATATGGTAATACAGACCTTACTGCAGATGCAGCATCCTCACAAATTTGTACACGTGGGCTGCTCTGCTTGCTAAAAGCTCAGTCTGCAGCCTAAGCAGAGGTAACCGGCGGCAGAAGAGGAAAATATCATCCCCCTCCAGTCGAGTTCTGCTCCTCAGGCAGCCAGCGCTGTCACAGCACATCCAAAGCTGTGAGCATGCCCCTGTCAGCGGGGCTGTCAGTCAGTCGCTGCCCCAGCCCTGCCTGAGTGCTGTGCAATATTGTGCCCTTACTGAAATGCAGCGATAGTAATACTGAAGGTGTTTTTTTTTTTTTTTTCTTCTTTTTTTTTGTTGCTAGCAGACAACTCAATTATGAATGAAAAGGAACTTTTTTATTAAGCAAAATTGAGGGGGTTACGAGGCAGTTTTTTAACATTTTAACCCTGGATTTGCTTTTTGCTCTTCTCTGGTGAAGTCTTCAGCTGGGCTTCAACCTGATCTCCCTGTGCCAGGGAGAGCCACAGCACACACGTGGCTTTGAAAGCCTTTGAGAAAAGACAGGGAAAGCTTTAATAATATCCCAACACGTGCCAGCCCAAGCAGCCAGCTGCTGCTTTTTTATTTTTGTAGCTTTCCAATCTGAACATGGAGGAGATGATTAACAGCAGTGCTCAACCCGCATTTTCTAGACAAACACCCCTTCAAAAAAAGCCCAAAGTCCATTTGGAGTAACTTTGATGGTCCCTGAAAAACCTACTGCAATTTGCTGAGGTCCTTTCAAAGCTCAAGGTGATGTTTAAGGTGATGCAGCTTGTGCCCCTGACTTCTCCTGTCTTCTGGAACTCCAGAGGATTTTATCTGTACCAGAATTATCCTGGACATTTTAGTACAATGATGTGCATGTCAGGTAAATGCTGTTGGCATGATTCTGAGGCATGCAGTCATGTTTAAGATGATATTTCTGTCATCAGCAGAAAGGTGCGCAATAGAAAAAGACAGAAATGGCCTTACCTGAACCTGCAGCTTCCTTCTCGAATAACCTTTAATTACATAAAGCCACATGAGCGAGGCTTGTTCAGGTGGAATCACTGTTCTTTTCTCAAAATTTCGGTATAGATTGGTACAACCCTATGGAAGCCAGTAGAATCACGCAGAAGCAGCTGGCAGCCAGCCCAGCATCGTGTTTAAAGCATCTGTTTTGATAGCAGCCTGCCATGATCTAAAAAAAAAAAATAAAATAAATTTAAAAAGAATACTATTGACTGCAAAAGCACTTCTCTTCAGGAAAAGAACACGAGATTATATTAGAGGAAATTTAATTAAATCACCAGAAAACCTACAAAAGTTCTAATCCCAGATCTATCAGTTTGCTTCTAAAATTGTCCATAAATCTCCTTGGTAGTCAATTTTATAATTCCTAGAAGACAAAATAAAAAATGAATGAGAAATGAAATAGGCTAAGGATTGGGATATTTTTTCTTTAGGCGGAAAGCTGACCATGAATTTCATTAATCCTGCTTAATATCCTACCTTGGCAGTCATTGTAAGAACTTAACATTCATCTACAGTGATAAAGTATACAGAACTAGGAAAAAGAAAAAAAAAAAAAAGGTTTCCAGACCTGCTTTTATAATGTATATGAAACATACTGTGACCCACATTAGCTTTAACAACAGCGAGAGAGATGGAATCAGGGGATGCCGCCTCGTGGATACAATTATGTGCATTTCTGGTGTGTAGGGAAAAACTGGTATTACTGTAATTACCACAGCTAAAATTTAGAGTGTTCTGCTGTTTTTAAGCTGGGATGGACTCAGGGAATTGAAATAAATGATACAGCTTTGCAAATTTGTCAGAAAGTAGCATTTTCCATTAAAGAATACGCTCTATATAAGGATCCTTTACAGGCTTATAAACAACATCTTAAATCTACAGAATGTGCTGCTGTACATTATTGCAGCAGTACTTATCACGAAAGAACATTTGGGATGGATTTCTTATGTCTCCTGGGCTTTCCCTTTGATTTGCTGAGTCTTTTGCCCTGAACAATGGCAAGTGAGAGGGGTTTTTGGTGGAACAAACTGAACTGTCCAGGTGAGAAAGTTAATGCTGTGTCTTAATGGCAATAAATTCTTCACCATGAGGCCCTGGCACAGACTAACCCCAAAAGCTGGGGCTATCCCATCCCTGGCAGTGTCCGAGGCTGGGCTGGGTGGGTTTGGGCAGCCTGGGCTGGTGCGAGGGGTCCCTGACCGTGGTGGTGGGGCTGGGTGGGATTTGAGGTCCCTTCTGACCCAAACCAGTCTCTGATTCTGTGATTCTATGTTATTTACCACATTTTTTTCCTGAAAATCAGAGTATCATTTATGTATAATGTCTGTTAATGTACATACAGACCAAGGAGACGGTTGTACATACAGGTCAAGGAGACGAGACCAATGAACAACACAGAGATAAAACAGGACTGTTCTGACCAGCCAGGATTTATTAAATTCCTACCTGAAACACTGAAAATCAGCTTGGAAAAACACATGCAGAGCTGTCTTAGCAATTGCTAACAACCCATGCAAAAATGGTTGGTTGGGCTGGGACATGGGGGGCAAATTCCTGGGGTTTCTACCCAAGCATTGGACAATACCTACAAGGATGGTGGGGTACTCCCCGTTTTCCCATCAGGATGTGATCACCAATCACGTGTAGGTTTCCCATGAAGGGAAAGAATCCTTACTGCTCTTGACATTTCAATTTTGGAAATACTTTGCTGGGTTAGAGACCAGCGAGGCCGGTGGAAGCTCCAGCTGCCTCTCAGTACCCATAACCGCACGGCGCAATTAAGCTTTTCTATGGAGCCAGATGGATGAAGCAGCAGCGCCCATCCAAAAAAGCTGGCACATCCCACTGCTTCAAGCAGTGCATGAGAGGCACTGGTGGTGGGGAGGTTTTTGGGGAGAGTGCTCAGCTCCAGGATGGAGCTGGCTGCTGCTGGGGCATCTGCATGGGCTGGCAGTGGGGAATCATTGCCCTCCTGCAGCAGCTTTCTGAGGCTGAAACTAACCTAGAGCAACTTTTTTTTTTTAAAAAAAACAAAACAAAACACACAAAACAGTCTGAGTAAATCAGTGAGTTATGTTTTTTATATTTTGTTTTCTCATTTCTGAGCACAAGGCTGAGGAAGGTCTAGAGTGAGCACACTGACCACCTCCATCACCGGCCTGCCACATCCATGCGCTGTGGATCAGGATGGGGAACCTGCCACGCTCATCCCATTCTCTGGACCTCTTGGTGAAATGGTGGCTCCCCAGTAACCAAAACGACATACTGAAAGTATGCTGGGAGCACTGGTTCTGCAAACTTGCTGGGAAGGCAATTGAATAACGCTCTGCCCTGCACCTCCAGAAGGAAAACCCATCACTATTTGGAAAGTGGGAGAGTAAATGATAAGCAGGCACCTTTATTTCTTGGACACCCAGATAAGGATGATAAATCACTACTTTGGTTTTGCTTAGGAGAATTGAAAGAGTAGAGACATTCCCCCTTTTGGAGATGATTACCATAAGGAGAGGGAACTCTGCCACCTTGATTAAATGCAACATTGATATAGATTACTCCCAGCTATGAGAGGTTTTCAGATTATGATCTTCTTAGTGCTATAGATTTATTTTTTATTTTTTCCTTGGGATTTTTTACACACTTCAGCAGCCAGCACAGGGAAAATCAAGCCCAGAAGGTGCAGGAGGGCAGGGGTGAAGCTGGTTGGGACAGCCCAGCACGGACTGGGCCAGGGCACGGGGCAATGCCTGCACATCCCAACCTCGTGTAGGGCCGGGAGGGTTGTGATGGGAGGCTTTGGTGCTGAGTGGGGTTATTTCTGTCCCTATTCAGAACTTCTTTTGTTTTAGTCAGGCAAAGCTCCTGATGGAGACAATGGGACTCTATGGCAGCAAGGAATGCTAAATAGGGCCCTCGCTGAGTTAAACCGCAGCTAGCTTTGCATTCCAGTCCACAGCTGGATGCAACTGATATTATCAGAGGTATAAAAGAGTGCTCTTTCAATTACATGCTTGGTTAAAAAAAAAAAATCTAGCTTAAGTATTATCACTTATGTGTACCCTTTGCTGTAGGTAGCTGTCCATATTGCGTGCGACGGGGGTGCCTGCGATCCCCATCACCTCTCCCTGGGTCTGCTGAAGTCAATGCCATGCAGGCTCGCTGGAACAGCCTCGCAGATATTTGCTGACAAACCTTTTCAGTATAATCCTTTATTATCTAACCACAGTCAAGAGCCTACTTCACATGAAATATTTTCTGCTACAGATGGCAAAGCCTGAGACCGAGCCAACCTCAGTGCAAAAATACATTTATATCCATGCAGAAGCCCTCAGCCAGCCAGCTTTCTCCATTTGTCATGAGCAAGAGGTATCCCAGATAATGTTTCAAATTCATTAAAGGACCAAATGGACAAAACTGTTGTGTTTCTTATTAAATTGTCATAATCATACTGCACATAATAAACATGTTTGTGCACATAGATCAAAATGGGACATGAACTGTAGGCTGAGATTATCTGTCATATTGCATCATCAGATGTCTTGTTCATTACTCTTTATGGGTTTGTTACAGGTAAACTTTTAAGGCTTTCTTTCATCCCTCTGAATAGTCTTGTGACTGCAGGTTTGGGATTTGTCCAAGTCCAAATGACTTAGGTAAGTAAAAATGAGTATCCTTTTTCTTTGCAGGAGAAAGAATGAGGGTGTGTGTGGTGTGGGGAACCTGGGAATGCAGCCCCCTTCCACTGTCACTTTGTGTGCACCCAGACAACAGTCTGGGATCTCCTCTGTGGGCTCTGGAGCTGCTGGGACTGGAGGCGTGAGCTGCCAGCTTCACGGCGCCCACCTCGGGGTAGCCCAAAGGGACCATTACAGTTAGAAACCTGAGCTTAACAAAGGCAAAGTGAGTGATGAGAAAGCAATTTTGCATAATTAGGAACATACCAGCAAACTTTTCTTACTGACATGACATTTTACATTATTATAATTGTTTTGATGAAAAGGAGAAGAAGAGTGCTGTGAATGCAAAGCTGAAATATTGTCCCGGTCGTCGGGACACTCCTGCATATAAAAACTTTAGAAAACAAATGCAAGCAATGTGACATTCACATAACAAGAGGGAAGGAACTACATGATAAAAGGCCAAACTGGTGTGTTTTGCACAATGACACTCTCAATCCAGCTGGGGCATTTCTGCTGCTGTTGCTCAGGATGGAGGAAGCAGCCCCACACCCCTGGCACCAACACACTGCGCTCATGAACAGGACTTTTACTTATGACTTTGCTGGACAAAAACCAACAAGGCAAGAAAAAACCAATGGCTTCATTTAACAGCTCCCAGAAAATGCCTGGTGTTAATTGACAGCAAAGAAAACCCTACCGGGATGAAAACACAACAGCCCAGCTTCCCATGCTGATGCCGTGCTGGAGGAACAGCAGCTCCCCAGGGCTCAGTGTCCCACTGCTGTACCCAAGGGTGTCAGAGCTTTGTGCAGGCTCTCGATAAATGTCAGGTACCAGGGCTAAGTTATTCAGTGCTACGTTGCATTTAAAAACGCCCTGGGAGTTACTGAACGCTCCCAGCTTTTGGAAATTGTTGTTAGCATTGGAGCTGGTTGGCTGAGTTGTCAGTGGAAAATAAAGTTAGGGTGAAATACACTTTTCTGAAGGTTTTTTTCTGTGCTAAAAATGAGAGTGAGCTGCAGCACTTTATCAGCCCCTCTCTCGGGGCACCTCCAGCCGGTCCCATCTCTTCTGCAAGACTTTGGCTGCAGGACGGCTGTGGCAGAGACGTGACTGCAGCCCCCGGGGGGCACGAGGCTGTGGCACACCACGAACCCTGGTTAAGCAGCTACAGCTCAGCGTTAAGCTGCCTGGCTACGGAAGATATCACTGTTTTAATTCTTCATGCTGATTTGAGTTTGAAACGTTCAGTATTAGGATGTGTTGCAGGGTGGAAACCTGAGGGATATTTCTACTTGATTTTATTCTGAAAGAATTTAAAAACATCATTTTAGGCACTTGAAGAGTTGGCTCAAATTCCCTCACTTGTGCCCTTAGTTCTCAGAGATTATAATTAAAATGAGTGGTCAAAATCTCTTATTCCCTGAAAATAAGCTTCCAGGTGAAAATACCTCTTGGCTCAGCAGTTGATATGTAGGCACTGGCTCATACCCTATTACACGATATGATGGACTTGTGGTTTTCCTATTGAAAGGCTGACAATTCTGCAATTATGCTTTCTTATCAGCCTGACCTTCTTGGGAAGCAATGACTGAAGTAAAACAAATTTCCTTTAGCCTTGCTTGTATTTTGATGAAGTCAGAACTGGGTTGTGCCCCTTATAACTGAATAATTTGTCCCCGTACAATGGAATGAGAGATGTCTGGCCCAATATCCAACCGCTAGAACATTTTCTCTTTTTTATTTTTCAGTCCAAATTTCCCATTACCTTTTCTGTTGAAATCAGGCCTCTCTTTGCAAGCTGAGACAGCCCTTGCGTACTCCCAGGTGGGAAAACGGGGTGCAGGCAGCCGAGCTGAGTCCAGCAAACTCAGAAGTGCTTCCAGCAGACCTGGAATTGGGCACTATTAAACTATTACTCTATACCTGTACAATATCAGTAGCAAAAATATAAAAATCTCATGCAGTTCCCTGGAGGAATTTTCCTTGTCTGTTTCTGTGACATTACAATCCCATACACCACTCACAGAAAGTCAGCACAGAAGACCAATATTATTATCCATCTCCAAGCTTGCTTGCAAAACCAGTGCCTTGTATCTCTAAAGAGAAGATGCTGTAGTCTATTGTCTTGAGCTGACACACAGCAATGTAGTTGTTTTTATGCACAGCAGATTCATATATAGCAACTTCAATATTTTACATATTTTAGTCTCCTGTCTCATAAAGTTAAGCCCGTTCATGCGGAGACCCTCAAACCAGATGAACCCAAGCCCTGCAGTGTCTCTGCTACCAAATATGCTTCTGCTCCTGCGTTGCACTAAGAGCCTTGTTTCTTGTCTATGATTTAGAAATCGGAGATTTCTAAAAAAGTTGAGGATGTTGGGGATTTCAGTCTGTTCTAAGTCTGCCACAGCCCAGTTTAGGGTCAAGTTCTCCCATACAACCCAGGCAGGGCTGCAGATGTGCTCAGCCGCTCAGAGGCTCAAGATACTCTGTTTATAAGGTGAAAAGTAAAGATAACTCCAGAGAGTTTAAAGTCAAGAAGCCACAGCAATAAATAAAACCTGTTTTGACTATACAAGGGTGACACAGAGATACCCTCTAGATATAAATGTGACACTTTTTTATACTTCTCAGCTATCGCGTGCCTCTTTGAAGAGCCAGCCGCTGACAACAAGCTTCTGTATCTGTGCACAGGAGTGATGAAACGGCGTGGCTCAGATCCTTCTGAGCAAGAATAAATAACATGTAATGTGCAAATGCCAGATCAGTTTGCAGTGCACATCTTCCCACAGAAAATCACCAGTGCTCCACTTAAGCTAACTCAGCTTAAACTGTAGGTTTTAAGGACTGCATCGCTGGCTGTCAATTAAAAGTGAGACACGAGCTGATTAAGCTATTTTTGCTGTGCATGGTCTCTGGAAAGGAGCAGATTCACTGGGTTGGCCCGTTTCTCTGTGATTTCTTTCCAAGGAGCACAAAACGTAGTCTTCCCTTATTTTGACTCTTTAAAACTGAACTTTGTTTAGGTATAATGAAAGACAGTCAAAATAAAATGCTGAGCAAAGCTGTAACCGACTGCCACAGTGCAGGATGGCTATAACAGTCACGAAGACTGAGGAAAAGGGAAGATTTCTGCATCTCAGATTCAGCAGGTGTAATCCATTGTCACAATGCATTCATTTTGAGAAACACAGTACCAGATAAGCATGGTTATCAAAATATCCTGCAGGCTTTCCCCCCCCCCCCCCCTTTTTTTTTTCTTTTTCTTTTTTTCCTAAAAGCGTTATTTGCACCGTCTGTCCCTTTTTAATGGAAAGAACCAAACAGCTGCTGTGATGGAATAACATCCCAAACCACCTCTTTCATGCATCAGTGTGTACAAACATATGGATATGTTTAATTGAATAAAAAGTATTCTTATGAAATGCACTCTCAGACTCTGCTTGTGAGAACGTGTAAAATTATGTCTGTATTTCAACAAGGAAAAATAAGTTTTTCTCTCATCTTCATAATGGCACCTCGAGCGGTGTGGGAGGTGTCCCAGGGCTCCGTCCCCCTCGGTGAGGATTTTGGGGCTCGTCAGCTGGTGCCACCTGAGACCACCAGGCATTTTCCACCAGGAAAATGGCATCTGTACATAGGGAAACATGTAGGAAAATTGAAAAGTTTATGAGTTGTAAATGGAGAAAGGGGCTGGTGAGAAGAGTGGGACCACTGAGCTGCCATGCGCAAAGCAGAGTCTGAACTTGTCCAAATACCCAAGCTGCTGTTTTTGGCAATCTCACAATGAAAAGATTACTCTTCCTTGAAGTAGTAATAAAATTTTTTTTGGAAGCGTAATTGCTGGAAAAAAAAAAAAAAGTAAACAAAAAAGCAGAATTTTGAAGTCCCCAGAACAAATGCTCTGATTAACCTAATCGTGCTCTTTTTTCCTGCATATTTAATTAATGATTTTCCTGAGATGTTGATTATTTTGTCCAAATTCACAATCAGAAACACGAACATTTTCCCAAAACAGAAAAACAAGTCACACAGCTCTGAGAAATCCCCCAGGCAGGAGTGGGGAATGGAAATGCTGATAGATTTGTTTTCATTAGGTACCTGAATGCATTACAATAATTATGTCAGTTGTGAGCTTTTCCCATCTGCAGCCCAGCCCTACAGCAATTTGATTAGAAAATAAAAAACTTGAAGGGAACGGGCTGGAAATATGAAGACAAGGGACACTGAGCTTCACAAGAGCAAGGAAATGATGAAGCAGGTTCCTCATTATTCAGCAATGGGTTTAATTCAGAGCGCTTTCACGGGAACAAAAGCATGCACTTGACAATGATTTGTATGATTTCTGCACTACCATATTCTGGGCAGGAAACCAACTTCTGCTAAAAATGCTTCTTTAAGTGGTGCTTACTGGAAACGCTCACATAATGCAAACACTAACAGCTGTGGGACTTTTTTTTTTTTCCCCTCTTAAGGATATAGGTAGCTTTAAATTAAAATAAAAATATAATGTTTCAAGACTCATCCCCATTACAAATACATTGTAATGAGTGAACTTGCAGCGGTCCCTATTTTCAGCTCACAGCTGAAGAAGTCTGAGCCTTAGCTGCTTTTTACATGGAGAAAACCCATGGGCTGAGTCCCTGCTCTAGCAGCAGTATTTTGGCCAGTGGCAAGAGAACCCCCCACCACCCCAAAAAAAAACCTGCCCCAGGGGCAGGCTCAGGCAGCTCAGCAACATAAAACTGCTTCTAGAGGTAGTTTTTTATTGATGGGGTCACCATCAGCAAACTGCATCTGCTGCAGGATTCTGCTTTTGCAGAAGATCCAGATGATCATTTTCCTACAGAATCAGCTCATTGGGAACCTCTGAGCCTCCTCTTTTGCTCCATGTTTCCCAGCTGCTAAGCACGTGCCTAGGGGTAACAGGGTTTTGCCCAGCAATCAGCAAGATCCCAATCTCCATTCTGCTGAGGCTCATTTAGGGTAACTTCCACTGCTGTCAGCGGTGCTACTTCAGTTTGCCATGATGTAATTGAAAGCAGAATTTGATCCTGAATTAGCTCGAATTAATCTGCTACTAATGTTGCTGATTACAACTCGCTGTGATGATTTAGACAATAAAATGAAACAGACTGGTAATCATTTAGCATTAATGCAAGCAAAACTGCAAATTAACGGAGGAGAAGAAAGGATCTGCATTTTCAGTAGCTTTCAATTTTTGCCTAATTAAATTTCTTTAATGCAGTCAGAAATTAAAGGGAAGCCCAACAATTGGTCCTTCAGGTGAAAGAAAAGTTGATGTAAAGGCAGGAAGGGCTGATGCTGTACTCTGTTCTTCCAGCCCTAAGTTGGTATTTTACAGTTGAAAAATGGTAGCGATATGAAAAGTGCAGGGTTCATTTCACTTTACAGCAATAACAGCTTTTTGGCCTAGTGCAGAGAAGGTAAGTTATAGCATTTTTTTTTTTTTTGGTATTTCTGAAATATGATACGATACATTTGGTTAACATACTTATTTTACAAGCTCTTCGCAAAGTGATGCCGTTGCATTTACCAAAACAGCGAAGAAGTACTGATTTAAATAAAATGTGTGTAGATCTAAATTGTTATTTTAAATGTACTATTTTTTAAGCGTTGTAGTTCTTCTACAACATGGATTTTCCAATGCTGTCTTTGTAACCAAGTATGAAATAGGTTTAAAACCTATATCTTAGTTCTGTTATACTGTTGATACAAGCATTCTGTCTTAGATGCATAATGGCCTTCACAGGGATGCTAGCAAAGGATTCTTAAATTGGGTTATTGTGATAGCCATCACTCAAATAAATAACTGGAGCAGATCTTGACAAAATTGTGAAGTTGACTCATTTTTATGAACTTTGTTTGGAATCACAAAATGTGGCTGAGTATAGCTGATCAGATAGAACCTGCTGTCTTTAATAACAATACAATGGCAACCAAATCTTAAATGTTATCTTTCATTTTTGACTCCAATTATCAACCTTTGTGGACTAACCAATGAGGGAAACCAAGCAGCAAATATCTTCCTGTTTTGCTTATTATCAGTAATATTTTCTGTGTGATTGTGATGGAAAACATGGTATTTCCTAATGGTCCTTAATTATCTTTTGCGATAAGAAAAACCCGAAAATGCAGATAAGATTCACAAGGTTCATGCATCAGAAGCACATCTTCAATAATTTCAGCAATCAGATTTGGATTTAGGATTAAATGAAGTAGTATCACTTGAGTTTTGCTAGCAATGATGAAAGTGAATAAAGCGCCCTGGTATTCAGGAAACTTCCCATTTATTGCTTTGTGAGAGGTTTGGGTATGTAGTGGAATGCTCCTGGGTATGTATCCAGATAGAGTGTGAGTGTTGGCAGGGCTCCTCTGTGAGCAGGGGTGTGCCTTGATCCCACCTATTGGGGCTGGTTTTCTAATTTTTGGTAGGAGAATCTGCCCAGGGTTTTGGCCTGGAGGCCGGCACGTTGATGAACCATCCCAAAGCAAGCTGTAGTGTTTCATTTCAATCATATCTGAAATCGCTAATAGGGCACAAAGTGCTTTATAGGGGGGTCAGAATGGAGCAAAGAAACATCTGAAACATCTTTTGGCCCTTATGGGTGTTGCCCATCTAACATCAATGTGTTCAGGTGTCTGAGTGCTTTACTCATCTATTACATTGGTTGCATTGTGGCTTTTTAAGTGAAATATTCCTTTCCGTATTTCTCTCCTTATGTGTGTTACTTTGCCCAGTACAATGATATTACTGTTAATCACTATTATTTACAATTATTGGGAATACTCCTGGGGGTTTCTGGTATTGCTGTGTATATTTTTGGTGTATATGCATGAGGAAAACAGTAGGAATAAAGATAAAATTGGAGACATTTGTAGCGAAACTTTAAATATGTGTCCCAAGTCAGCAAGATACTCTCCAGGTAATGCATAATGAGATATCTGAATCTTTTGAATTAATAAATGCTCTTGAAGCAGCCCTTATATAATGACAGAGATAGCTCTCAAGATATCAGGGAGGCAAGATTGATGGGCTATGCAGATGCTTATGCCATTAAAAAGACCTTCAGAAAGAAACAAGTAGGATTGCTAAAAATGTTGTTTTAAATTAATGTCTGACTTTGGAAACAAATTGATGCACCCCAAGATAATTGAAAAAGTTAGAAAACAATCAAGGAAGAACAAATTGAGGCTCCATGAGAGACAAAACCCCCAGATAAAGGAAGTCTTTAAATCTGCTTCCAGAACAGAGACCTTTCTCCTATCTGAGGGATTTTTTTTACTGTCCTATTTTTTTCTCTTCCGAACAGAGCAAGTCTTGCCTTGACATATGTAGGACTCAAGTTGAGAAGGGGCTCTGCTGGGAGGTGGGCTGCAAGACCCATCCTGCTTATGTAGGGTGTTGTCTACCTCTATATGGAGGCATCCCTCCCTCCGTATCTGCCCTGTAGACATTACGTGTTTCAGTGAAGGGGCTTAGTGTCATGAAAGGGATGGCAGTGGTTGTTGCTTGGTTTGTTTTGGGGATGCCAGGTCTTGATCTGCCCTCCTGGACCAGCTGCCTTGATGCAGTGCCTGCCACATCTCATGGCTCCCTTCCTCCTTTCTAGCGGTGGGAGCTGCTTTCTTTCAAAACAGATTGTCCATTTTAATTCAGATGCTTTTGTCTGAAAAGATGAAGCATTTGATCAGGCAACTTTTAAAATGATTAGTTGCGCTCGTTGCTTACACCGTGGTTTCGTGATTCTTCTAACAACATAATATGTCAATATGATGATATTGATTCTTCAGTTAGCTTTATAATTAATGATAAATGACTTGTATTCCACTGTTCATAAGCTGTTCTTTCCCTGGCGACAATAGCTGCTAAGAACTGTAACTGAGGCAGATGAGTGTGGTGCTGAGAACTGGAAGTGAGAAACTGCAGCAGGCAGTAATGCTGAATTATACAATGCAAAATGGTGGCCTTCTGTGGTGGAGTGACTGCGTCAGTTGACAAGGGATGATGGGCTGATGTCATCTACTTGGACTTCTGCAGGACCTTGACACGGTCTCACATGACATCCTGGTCTCCAAATCGTGGAGAGATGGATTTGAATGGAGGACCATTCAGTGGATAAGGAATTAGCCTGAAGGTTGCACATAGAGTCAATGGCTCCATGTCCCAGAGGAGGCCGGTAATGAGTGGTGTCCCTCAGGGGTCTGTTCTGGGACTGGTGTTGTTAAATATCTTTATCAGTGATGTAGGCCATGGGATCGAGTGCACCCTCAGCAAATTTGCAGATGACACCAAGCTATGTGGTGCAGTTGGCACAACAGAAGGAATGGAAGAGATCTGAAGGGATGTGGATGAACTAGGCCCATGTGAACCTAATGAGGGTCGGCAAGTCCAAGGTGCTGCATATGGGTCAGGGCAATCCTGGGTGTAAGCACAGACTGGGAAGAGAATTCACTGAGAGCATCCCTGCAGAGATGGACATGGGGGGGGAGGTCTGGTGGGTCAAAGGCTTGATGTGAGCCAGCAGCACATGCTTGAAGTTCAGAAGCCAAGCAAAAAGCTATGTGGTAAATGATTTTTCTTTTAAATGAATTTTTCTTGTGGTGCCCCCATTGGAAAATGGGGCCAATTTACAGCCTGTGTCCCAGTGCTTTGAGTTTATTCCAATTCTTTCTTGTCTTTTTTTTTTTTTTTAATAACTTTCTTGGTTCAGGTAGACATTGAAGGACATCAACATGTATCAATGTATTTCCTAAACACGTGTGAGGGTTATCTGAGGCAGGGCTCAATGGAAAGGGGATACCTTCATTTTTAGCCTACAATTATAGCAGATTTAGTTTCTGCACTTAAAATAAATAAATACTTTAAGCAAGCCCTCAGCAGCCATAAAGCCCTAGTGTGCTTTGTATAGATTTACGTCAGGAGAAACAATTTGCCGCACCAAGAATGCCTCTCTGAGGGGTAGCTGGGAGCGTGCTGGAGGCACTGCACTCGGGAGGCTTAAGGTAATATCTTGAGAAATGTGGTGAGGGACCCGTAATGAGAGATGCTGAGTAATATGCACAATAATGGTATGAACTATTTGTGTACTTATTTTTAAATGCATTTCTAACATCAACCCCAACACCTTCAGGGAATAATTTCATTTCCTATTTAATTTCAGATGCTGCAAGTGCCTTAAGGTTGTTATAAATTATGTATAGAACTAAAAGTTACAGTTTCTATTCTTTGCTGGCTACAGATTTCATTTTAAATTAAACATGCTGTAGATCCACAGTTCAGCAGGACATTAGCTTGTTTCATTTGCACGATTCTTGTCTTGGTATCTGCAATCAGCAGCTCTGAAAGGTGTGAAATGTTTTATGTCTCAGTGCAGGGTAATCTACATGTTAAACAGCTCTTTGTGAAATTCTGTTCATTTGGGAGAAATTCAAAAAGCTTAAAGTATGGAGGCACAAAGTGATATAGCTAGGCTGTTACATATTATGTTTTCATGAGTCATTTGCTTCTTTTCTGTAGCTAGTAGTAATATTATTAATGCCTATAGCCTAATTAAAGCCCCAGATTCTGAACTTCCTGGGGTTTTATATACATTAATTCCACTGTCTTTTGATGAACTTGCAGTAATTGTAATTTGTACCAGTGCAGTAAGCCTGACTTACTGTCAAGGTATTTTAACTGCAAATACACTGTTTAGATACTGTCTTCAGGGGCTTCTTTTTACAGACTTTTAAAAATGTATGATAAAAGGAAAATTAAATCAGTATGAGTGTCTTGTGTGAATGAAAACGTGCCATTACTTGGATAAACAAAGGTGTTTTCTTTTCTCCCCATTGCCTACAGACCGCAGCAGCTTTCTGGACATTACAAAAGCATGTTCACATTGCTACTGCACCTGGCTCTGACTTGTATCACTGCTAAAGTAGCTGTCAAGATAAGCTGCTATCATCTGCAAATCAAAGTTTAAAAACTGGGTGGCTCCATCTTCCTCATTTGTGAATGTAAAGAGGCCTGTGCCACAGGAGTACATGGATCAGAGCAGATCCCCTTGAAAGGCTGGAGGCAGGAAATGCTTCTTGGTTCCAACTTAAGTGATGTTATGTACTCTTAGCAAACCTTACTTATATATGCTGTGGGGTAGCAGAAGAATTTCAGAGGAAAAGAAAAAAAAAATCTTACTATATAAATCTTAAAGAATCTTTTTTTTTTTTTAAATGAGAAGTTGTATCGAAGTCTGAAAAGTCACCTTACCTTAACAGCTGCAATAAGTAATCCCAATGACAAAGCAGTAAGTAAAATTACACTGAGTGAGGTCACAGTAACTTATTAAATCCTGCTTATTATTTTGATGAGCCTAACTTAGGCGAGTTGAGCTAGTGAAAAGTTTGTGCTAGTGAGCATTCATTAAAAATGATTGCAATGATAATACAAGTAATCATCATTAGCAATGACTGTGCTGTTATCTCATTAAAAATGTTTTGTTTTTAATGTGTCCTACTTCAGTCACAACTGTAGTAGGGATGGTTGATACCGTTTAATAATAAAAAATATGGTTGGCTTACATTGTAGGAACCGAAGCATTTAGCAGCTGCAGTGTATGGTCTGAATAGCCTTACTGTAGGTAGGCTTTGGTAGTTTGACTAATTAGAAACAGGTGGAGTATTTGAACACTGAGGGCAATAAGAAATATGCTGCTTCAGGATTTGACAGTTAATGATCACAAGAAGATCATTTGCAGCAGCTGGTAATTAAAGATGGGATCTCTATGAGCAGAAAATTATGTGTTTGGGGATGGAAAAGGGCTTTCGTTTTCAACCAGTGCAAAGCATCTTGTCAATCGGAGATTTGCATTTTTCACTTAAACAAAAAGGTTTGGAGGCAGAAATAGATCTATTATCTAGCAGCTCTGCCTTCTGGCTGACCTTATCTGCCCACTGCAAACAGATCTGTGACTGGGTGGCTCAGCGCTGCCCTTGCACACCCAACCTTTCTGCTCTAGGTTTCCAGCTCAGAGCTTGGTGCTAGATGGAAATTAATGTGATGTCTGATGGCATTCAGTGACCTGTGTGACAGCATCATATTTTGTCAGTTTTCCCAGCAATGCCCTGATAGAAGTCTTCAAAACAAGCAGTGCAGTGCTGCGAGAGACAGACTCCTGGGGTCTCCTGCTGCTTCCTGGGGTCTGTCCCTGGATCTTAACCCTTGTTCTCCATCACCCATCCCCATCCCTCTGTGACTGGACTGGAAGCAGTGCAGCCACAGGAAAGGTCCTGATACAGGGGGACACGTGGCCTCATTACTGCTGATGGCATTTCAGCTTGTGTTTATAGGATGTAAACTCAAACAATAAGATTACACTTTTTTTTTTTCCAGTTATCCTCCAATATAATATGCTTCAGGAAAAAGGAAAAGCAGCAGAAATCTGTAATGGAACAGAATCAACTGGTTTCTGGGAGAATCTGCCCGAATCTTTTTCTTCAAGTGAGTAGACCAGGTATAGTGGAAGAGATTGGCATTTATAGTAGCAAATATTAATTAGTACTAGTAACAACAATGAACTTTTAGGCTTAGGAAAATTTTAGCTCGAAAGCTTTGGATTTAGTTAATTGCTCCTGGATTTTATTCACATAACAAACACCTATCTGTACTTGTCTTTATGGCGACTATTGCATGGCTGCTGCTGGATCTATGGCAATGGCTCCTGCCTTCCTTCTAGAGCCCTATTAACTTTATTTACAGCAAGTGTGTGTGGCTGGGGACATCTTAGTGCACGGCTGGTACCTAGAGGCATTCCTGCTGGGTGGCAAGAGGTCTCCTGGGTGTGCATGTCTTTTTTTTCACCCTCCCTAGTCAATTTATATTCACTACGAAGCTGAGAATGTTTAGCTTTTCTCCAGTGTTCTGACTCCAAATTTATGAAAAATCTAGATTTTTAAAGTTAGATGAGTCTATTCTGAGAGACTCCTGAGCTTTGATAAGACAGAGAAACTTCTCCAACTTAGGGCTGTGGTTGATTTAAATGTTACTAATATTGTGCTATGAGATATGAACACCAAAATATATGCATTTGCTCTGTCCCGTGCTCAGTAGCTATTTCATGTTACGTAATGATTTCATATTTTTTGATACGGAGTTTCTGATTCTTTGTGACTTCTTTCTAGTTTCTTAGAGAAGTTATATTTTTATTTGGATATAAAGAGTTGTGATGAAAATAGTCGTTTTGCAGTGAGTGAATATGGAAGACTATGGATTTGTATTAGATGACAATGCAAGAACAAAGTCTCATGTTTCAGTTTCGAATAGCTGTTATAGCTTTATGTTTGGAGATCCTATGCAAAGCACCAACAGACTAGTAAGTATTGACACTCAAGAGCTTGTCTCATAAATTAAAGAAGTCTTCATAGTTCTTGAAATTTGAGAAAGAAATGTGTACTCTAGCAGTGAAAGTGTTACATAGTTTGTATTTCAGTTTACATTTAGATTTATGAGACTAGACATACATTTTTCCTGAAATAAAATATAATTTTATAATATGTGATGTAGTCTTATTAGTTCTTGAAAAATGGAGTGGAATATTAAATTCTTTTTTCATTAGATTCTTTCGTTATGAAATATTAGGAAGGGCTCAATTACAAAATGACAACTGTCCTTGCAAAAATCAGCTTGAAACATTTTCAGTGTTTTCATCAACTTAGATAAACTGGCAATCAAAACGAATTACAGCATCATATCTGATCAACTAAGGCAAAATTTTGTGTTGTTACTGCCAACAAAAGTTTATGTGTAGAGGAAATAGGAAACTGCCCTGAAGAAATGCTGAAGCACCAGTCCTCTGGTAAGAACAGTGGCTACTGGGACACCATTTCTGAAGCCGTGAGGCTGTCATAAGTATTTTGGAAGTTTTAAAACTGCATGTCTAGAAACCAGTAAAAACCTAGAGAACCAGCAGCTCTGGCTGTCTATAAATACTTAATAACACAAGATAGGGTCTTCCTGGTTGGTCCTTGATAAGGCTGCAACCAGCATCTCTTCTGACCCACAACATGCCACTTGCTGGTAATATTATTGTGCTGTGTATTCTAGATTAATGACTCCTCTTGCAGCGTTTGAATAAACGGATCCTGTCTGCTAACATTGCTAAGAGCATTTGTTAGTTGTAAATGATTTAAGAGACATTCTTTATGGAATAGTTATTTTGAATGTGCTTGTGGGTTGGAAATATTCATGTCAATAAAGAGCAGCAAGGGGAGCAGCTCTAATGGAAGAAAAATAAAGGAAATATAATTAGCATTTAATGATTTATTAATGGTTCATAAATATATAAACAAGATCGTTATACTAATATCAACAGTTCTAGGCAGTTAAAGACAGAAAATTGCTGGCACCATGTATTTGGATTAATGATGAAAGCCCCAAACCCAGCTCCAAGCTGTTGGAGTGCCATTGCTGAGTGAGGAGCAGAAGCTCCTGAGATGATTTTGGTCCCTCTGGGCACAAACAGTGCCAATGGGGACAGAAGAGATGAGTTTTGGGTTGGCAGAGCTTTGTGCCTGTGGCCTTTCTCTTTTATAAGCTGCAGACATGAGGGATGAAGTAGGCATCTACTTGCCCTTGGGGAAAGCAGCACAATTCCTTCTGCTTCCCTTCCCTGGAGCTGTTATGGGAGGCTGAGGGCTGAAGGAGGTCAGAGCCTGTTGTAGGATGGAGAGTGTGGTCAATCCAGATAGCTTTGACACGAAGGAAGCTTTCTTTATTTCTGAATTACAAAGTGCAGGAGATGAGGCTGTCCACCAGAGCAAGCAAAGGTTTCATTCGAAATGTGATTATATTTTTTTCTATCTGGTCTGGCTTAGGGTTTTACAGTGTCATGAGGACAGCAAGCTCTTGTGTAAGCTCCTGCTGATGATCAGTGTGCCCTCATTATGCTCAGACAGAGGCAAAAACATGCAGGCAGCTGCCTGTCTGCCTGGGGATTTGCTTCCGAAAGTAGAAACAACATTTTTTATTGTTACTTTGGATAATCTCACAGCACTGGAAATTCCTCCAAGAGCAACTAAATAGTCTGAAAAGTAGCTTTGAGTTAATTAAGCGGCTAAAAGATACCCTTGGTCACGTACAGATACACTGCTTTGGGCATTAGGAATGGCCCTGCAATATTTGTTTCAGGAGGATGCAATTACTCTGGTTACAGAAACTTTGTCCAGCACCAGACCAGGTGACCAAGAGGGCTCCAATGAATAAAATAAAGTGACCAATTATGATGTGTAGGTTACTTAATGAAGTAAAATTTCCATCTTATATAAGGTGTTTCTTCCAGGCCACCAGCTGACAGCGTGATACAGCTCCCGATGACTCAGTGAGTCTGTGTCACCACGCAGTATTTGACCCATTAAAACGAGGCAGCGGACTCATCTGGTGTTAAATGCCCAAGCCATGGCTTGTAAAGAGAAGTTTTGCAGCAGGGTAATTACGCTAATAAACCAAGATGATGCAGTGTGTTTCTGGAGAGCACCTGTGCTTGCCTAGTGGTGGCTGGCTGATGGCAGCCTGCAGGCTGGGCTGGGCTCCGTGCAAGGAGCTAGGCCTCAGCAGCACTGCAAATGATGTGACTGCTGCAAAAGCTCATAACTGGACATAAAGGGGATGGGAAGATGGGGGAGATGCGAGGAGCGAGAGGGTAAACTGCTCAGCAGTCACTGTGAGTGGCTCCAGATGTTGTTAGTTGAAGACACTGGAACAAAACTTGGATGTCATGACCATCTCCAAGGTCCACGTGGAAAATAGTTTTCCTCAGTTCATTGGCTGCAGAAGAGAGAAGCCACATGGGAGCAGCTGTTTGTGGCCCTTCCATGTTAGCAGCCCTTTCTGAGCTGTTTCCACGGTTATTTGTTGTTGTCCTTAGCATGTAATGAATGCAGGGGAACCCGAACTGATGGAGATTTTGCAGAGTCTTGTCTCTCTGGTGCTGAAACTATCTGCTACATCGTCTGTCCTGAGAAAAACAAATACAGACAGCAGGGATGCTTGGGTTCATGATTAATAGTTATTTTGTAATGATTCTACCTATTAAATTCAGTGTAGTGACACATTAAATTGTATAATATCCAACCTATGCCACAGCCTATGAGCAAGGCAGACTTGAAGACTTTTATTATTGTCGTAAATGAGATATATGTGGGAAAAATTAACAACATTGTTCTGTTTAATGAAAGTCCAGGTTGATACCAACAAGAAATCCTGCAGTGATGCAAGCTTAACTGGTCAATGCTTGTGTCCTGGGGAGCCAGGCCTGTTATAAGATCCTGCTGCAGAATTTAGGGAATAACGTGTTGTGTGCCAGGTGGTATGTGCAGGATGCTCTTAGGTACTGCTTGATAGTGCAGATGTTCCAGTGAGACAAATTTGTGCCATTTATCTTATGAAATAAGCAGGGATCTATGATGGTTCAAGCCTCATTGACAAAATTGCCAGCTGAGGTAAAATAATAGCATTGACTACTGGGGATGAAGAAAAATTGATTTTTTTAAAATCTCATAAGTGATTTGCAGAGATTAAAGTTAGATAACTCATATTAAACATAAAAATTGAGAGAATAAATAAGAAACACACTTTTAGACCAATTAAACAGAATCCATTTGCAGCTTATAATAAACTTCAGGCAGCTCCTTGGCCAAAATACAATTTTGGAGCTATGATGTATGAACAAGTGTATGGGCTGGGTAAACTGTTCTTGCAGCTAATGCTGCTAGGAGGGTGAATAAAATGGATCAGCTCATTCTATGCATTTCCACTTAAATTCTCCTTAGTGTACCAATGTTTTTGGAGTTATGTATTGCTGTGGTTATCATGGAGTCCATCAGGAATAGTCCTGCATTACTGCCTAATTGCTGGGTCTAACTCTTAGTGAATATCTGAATTAAACCACCATGAATATATCTAGAAAATGCTTTCAGAGAGGTGGGAATATAAAAACAAAAATGATTTTTTGATTATTTATTTTTCTGTGAAGAATTTACACTTCTCAAGGAAATGTCAGAACTTTTTCCACTTATCAAAATTGTTACGTTTGTTCTAAGATTATGAAAATCTATAGATAAAAGCCATTTTTGTCCAGTTCTAATAATCATTAAGGCTGTTAGTACAAGCTTGTATAACACAAGCAGTATATTGTGCACTTCTGAAGCACTTTCTCCATTTCTCTAAAGAGCAGGTAGTTTTCAGTCTGGCAACAGCTTCCTGCTGTCATCAGAAAAATTGTTGTCAAAATATACAAGGCAGTCATGGCAGGTGTCTGGCCCTGATCATCTCAAACCATTACTAAAAGGTCAAGGGCTAAGACTTCAGTTAAAAAAAGATAATTTTTTTTATGCATATCCCTTGCAGAAAGTTTGACACTAGTTCATGGTTGAAGAAAAGTGGATCTCTTCAAGTTGTGGTGTCATATCAGGTTTGCCTATCAAATTGTTATGTCATGTCACATA